TAAGAACTCTGAGCTATTAGTTAAGTTCTCCCCAAGCGAGCTCGATGGGCCGAATGGCCTCCTCTCGTTTGTATAGTTCTTATGTTCATTGTTTAACTTATTTTGATATTAAACACTTGCCCGTAAATATTAAAACTGTGAATTTAGTTTGCAATGGTCTGGTAACGCACTTCAGTTACTGAAACGCAGAACCCGCCAGTGCAACAACGCACTAAATGTTATTAAACACGCTCATTTACCACAACAGCCCCGAAAGCTTCCCAAAGTTTTTATCACTGCGTCATCTACCGTCCTGCGCACTAGGCGTCGCGACTGGTCCCGCCCCATCGGTCATCTCATTGGCTCAATAGCTATTCCGGAATGTTCTAGCAAATCAAATCAAGGCAGCGGAAGAAACTCTGGGCACATGGATGAGGAGTATAGTGGAAGTGTAAGTACCGCGGTGGGAACTTTAGATATTTAGTTGCAGATGTTATAATGTTGGAAAAGGTATCAGGAATTCAGGTATCTTGAAATGTACTGCAGTTGTTAATCATATATATATATATATATATATATATATAAAACTTAGTAGAATACATTTTATTTTATGTATAATTTATTCACATCGATTCGCGAAAAAAACGCAAGGTTATGTTTATTACCAAGTACACTGTACATGCGACAAAAAACTTATCCTGCTTTATATATCAGATGGTTATTGCAACAGATTTTTTATGATAATATGCATTAATCCACAATCTATCAACAGCTATCTTGGCGCATATCCATGGGAAAAGCACTGGTCCCCCCCTACTGGTTCGGACTGACACCTTACTGGTTTGGACTGGTTTTCGTATACGTACATCAGTAATCATATGCCATGTATAGCAACTTGGTAGTTATTCGGTATCTGTATTTTTTACCTCTAAGTGAGATTATTATTATTAGGATATTGTTATTACTGGGGTAAATAAACACGTTTAAAATTGTAGTTTATTTTTAAGAAGGGGGTCCTGCTGTTGGGATATCGTTGAAAATGTGTCATAAAGTTGCAATATATGAACTACAGACTGTGTTTGATTTTCAGAATTCGTGTATTGTTACCTGCGTTTTAGCAGTGTTTTTGTAAAATATGTTTATCGTTGCAGACTAGTGTAAATTTTGAAACATGGTGATCAATTGCGTTTTTTTAAAATAAATATTAGTTTTATGTTTTGTTCTATTTATGTTCTAACTTAATTGTTATAATTAAGCAAAAGTAAGATGATTACCAGGAGTGGGGTTCGAACCCACGCGGACACATGTCCATTGGATCTTAAGTCCAACGCCTTAACCACTCGGCCATCCTGGTTACAGTATGTTTCACTTTTCTTCTTGTTGTATTTCACAAAACCCGTTTCATTTAATTCATTTGTATGTTTTACACCTTTTAAAAATAAACGTCAGACTGAACTGTTTGTCGTCTTATCGCAAAACTCTCCATTAATGGCGTATGGCTGACATACATGCACACTTTGGTTTTCCGGCACCGGGGATGATTTTATTCAATAAATTGAAAGGAAAAGTCCCCATTGTCTGCACGCAATTCTGAAATAGCATATGCTAATTTATATATTCCATCGTAAAAAATAAAAGACACCCAGCCTTGGAAAATAACTTCCCCGCCCAAATAATAATTAAAAATACGTCTGCATATGAAAGTATAACAAATTTATTTGGAAATTGATAGTCTCGTTTTTATTATTGTTGTTGTGTCAACTTACGTAATTCTTAAATGGCTGCTTGGCTCGCCCCCCGCCAAACACTGTTATTAAAGCTAATCATTTACTCTACATTGTTTTCTCGTGCTGAAACGGATATAAAATAAAATAAAAAAAACTTAAGTCATAATATTCGTCTTTAACTTTTCGGTCTTATGATTGTTATTCGTTAATCTAGACAACGCAGTTGCACCGAAGGTTCATGCGAAAAATGGCGTCGCAGGGCTGTTTAGAGGTGCTTTAGACCCCCTATACATGTTCACTTTCAGTGCAAACAGACCCCCGAGTACAGGCTCTACCTCGAATAATAAAACTGCAACACGTACGGCGCGCTGCAGTTTGTGTAAATACGTTTGTGGGCTCAGGCAATGTCAGCGATAACGAGGAGCGCCGTGTTCAATACAGAGTCTGTAGCTATAAATACGCCACTTGATTAAACTGGATGAGAGGTGTGTGTGAAACTGTCAAGAAAAGAAAAATAGCACCTCTGGTGGCGTGGTGTAAGTGTCAAGTGTACTTGTTGTAGCAGCCGGTCTACCGTCGACTCTTTCCGCGAGTTGCGGACGGCTATTTGTTTTTGTGGCTTTTTCAGATGGTCGAAGGGTGGGGGGTTGGCCAGCTGGCGACACCCAAGCTGCCTGAATACACAGGCTAAGCAAGGAAACCACAAACTGCGGTTGCTCGGGCATCAAAACTGGCTCGGCCATACTCTTCCTGTAAAAATCTACACATATAACGTCGTTTCAAAGTAAGAGAACTGGTGGCAGATAAACTCTAGATGGAAGATAGAGTTTTGCCTCAGACAGGCGGACACGTGAATGCTTTGATTGGATGATGTTTCTCGAGCGAGCGCCCGTATATTAACGTTGATCTTCAATCTTTAACTTTATATCAACACTGAATCAAGGTTTTGCCACCATCAATTTTTCAATATTGAAAATCTGACCAAAATAAATTCAGTGTCGACGTTGATAATTTAATTAACACTTGACCATAATTCAACGTTGAAATTATCTGGGTGCCTATAGTTATCGATTCACAGATAGTGGACAAAATATAATTAGCCTATCAAACCTACCATACCCATGTTTCTATATATGCAATTGGTTCCATTTATTTATAAACTTTAACGGTGTTATGTATCTACCCGTCCCTAAATGTAACAATAAACAAGATTTAGGCTAAGTAATAAAATATCCATTCATCCACGTTTCAGCCACTTATCGCAGGATCGTGTATCCAGTTTTATTTAAACATACACAAAGTGACAAAATTGCACAAGTTCAGTTCAACTCGCGTTAACAAACGAGCGCATGACAAATCAGGAAGAGCCAGTTAGAGCTGCTGTTGTTATGAGAACGTTTCCATACCGGCAGTCTCGCTAAAAGCAAAATCAAAGACGACGCAAACTCTGACTCACCTGACAAGTGTCGTAAGCAGGGGTGCGGTGATACCTTGCTTAGACATGAATACTGATGGTGGCCGACAAACGGTCTATGGAGTGTTTGGCTTCAGACAACACGCTGATTAAAACATGTTACGGCATGTATGTGTCAGGAACAGATTAAATAGTAGTCTAAGTAAATGCTACTAGCTATAGCCTAAGAGAAAAGTAACCCCGTTAAACACAACTATGGTATATCCTAGTCTTACAGTAGACTTCCGGTTACTTTATGCTTGTGAAAAGTCTGTTAAGTGCCCACAATGCCTCATTAGGTACAATGTTTGTGCAACCAGCTAACTTATTCTTGCGACAATTCATTTTCTTTCACAACAGCCACTGCAGAAAGTACAATGGCATTCTTGAAGACATGAAGTGCTGAAATTCTGCAATACAATAAGTACACATATTTACAGTTCCAATTGCAACATGCAACTTGCTTATGATATTAGCATTAATAGTCCCTCTGATAACATAATGAAATAATATTCATGTTTCAATATATTCAACATAATATTCATGTGAGCAAGACTGTACTGTAAGGAGGAACCTGACACTGACACAGAGAGAACGGAAGAACTATTTTAATATGTATATACCATGCAAAACTCACAAGAGTCAGATGACAGCTTCATATCAATATATCGATGTCAATGGACAAGCTGGTACTGTGCAGCGTTTAAGCTGCATTTGCATGTGTGTTCCTGTGGTTAAAGGTCAGCCATTGCCACTACTGCTGTGTTTCAAGTGTATCCAGTGTCCACTGTTTAATATTCAGGACCCTGCCAATATGGAAAGTATGTATGAAATGGTTTGCTTGCTTAAAACTCCCAATCTGTCTTCATAAAGAAGGCCAACACCAATTTTAATTTTTTTCAACGACGAAAATACTGAAGAACCTTAGTCTCTGACAGTGATCATCCCTCATCTTCAGAAGCATAAGGAAACATGAGAATGAATTGTCCTCTTAATATTTGCTGCATTATTTGCAACATGGACAACAGCAGCAGAAGATCTGTCTGCATGGGTTTTGCTTCTTGTATTTCACAGCCTGCTTGATCTCGGACGTGGCCTTCATCACGTAGTCCTCCGTGTTCTTCACGTTGGCCTCGATGTTATCCAGCATGCTTCCCTGCTCCTCCACCAGCAGACCCATCTGGAAAAACAGGTCGTGAATGTTCCGGATACGACCCTCCAGCTCGAGGAGCTCCCGGTGGCGGTTCTCAATCTCGCTGAGCGCCGAGCGCGCGGTCTTGCCGTCGGTCAGCAGGTTCTCGGAAAAAACGTTCCACTTGCCCGTCTCGATCATATCCTCGATCTGCTCGCCGGTGACCTCCTTGCCCATGATCTCCACCTGTCTCTGGATGCGGGTCTTGCAGTTCTCCTTTTGGGCCATCTCTGCCTCGTTGTAGTTAGACATGGCGTCATGGAAGCTGTTGGTCAGGGAGATGCACTGTGAGCGCACCATCCGCACCACGGCGGCATTGGTACCCTGCTCTTCCTCCAGCTCTTTGCTGTGCGCCCCCAGCTTCTGCAGTCTCTTATAGATTCCCTCCCCACGAGTCTTGATGTCACGCGCGATGGCGTTGGTGTCCCTCTTGATGCTACTGATGCGCCTGACAGAAGTTAGGAAGCGGGTGTTCTGCTTGCCCAGCCGCTTGACGTCCATCTTCAGGGCGGAGATCTCCTTCCTTATGGCCTGTCCCTCCGCAAAGACGCCCTCCATAGTGTCTTCTGACTCAAAGACCACAGCCTGCTGCTCCAGCTGGCTGGAGGTATCATTGTCACTGAGAGGCTCTTGTTTCTCACTGAAGTTCTGGATGACAGCTTGCAGATCACGGAGCCTGTCCTTCATCTTGCCTGCAACAGAGAACAGCTCTCCTTAGCAACCAAACCGGGAAAAGACCGTCTAAAAAATAAAAGTAAACAGCAGAACGCTGTTCAGTTCATATAATTTCTATTCCACCCAGTCCCTGAAATATGTTAGTCAGTGGTGTTACACAAACCCAGAAGATTATAAGACTGAACTCCAGATTTTTTAACATTATGTTTCAATACAAATGACTGCTGCCCTTCCCAACACACCTATATTGTTTGACTAAATCCGAAAAATAGTTCGTGTGAATGGTTAACAGGTAATCTGTGGGCGGAAAGCCTGATGTCACCAAGCACAAACAATATGCCCTCCAATGGGCGTGGGCAACTCAGCTAAACTGTACCCGCTGTTTTTATATGCCAGTGCTCATGCAGTTTAAATTAATCTGAATTTGTCCAGGGTGCGGGCCAAATACTAAGAAGTGGAACAAACGTATGCTTAGTTTTCATCGGGCTTTTTCTGTTTTATCGTGATTTATTTGTGATCACAGGGCATTGAAATAGGCTAACGTCTCTTTAATATACTTCCAATCAACGTGTAACTTATCATTTCTGTACACCAGTTGCACTTCGCTTTAGAAGAGTTTTGCTAAAAAAATTTATGCAGATGTAATCACGTACTTAGGCCTAGTTTTAAATAGTAGGCCTACTAAACAGTAATTTCATGAACTGGGAGTTTTATTTCTGATTCTTGATCATGCGGTTCACTGTGCTAGCACCGGGTTTTAATCGTCCGATTCTGAGAAATGGTAGCGTGTGAAGCTCAACATCCCTCAGCGATTGTTACTTTCAAAAGCAGGCAGTATCCATTTCTACGAAGATGTTTGGGTTCGTGAGTTGCAAAACTTTGATTTTGAGAATTTAATGTAGTCTGCAACCGTATTCTTTAGGCCTACTACTGTAACTTCCGAATCATTAACTGTTTTTAATGCTTAATTATAATGCACCTGATGGTATAGTTTTGTAAACTCATCTTATGTACGTCTAAATAACTAAAACCGAATTCCGCAGGACCAGAGAAAGCACGATTTTGAGATCATATCAGTTAGCTCTTAATTTAAACATTGGATATTAAACATGTGATATAACTTAGGCTATTTTTATATTGACACGACCGATAAAATTAATGAAACAAATCATACTGAAATCGTACGCATTCCGCAATTCTCAGACCTTCTCTTAAGTTTATAAAGGCAGCAGTTAGTAGGCCTATAACTAGTTAGTAGCCTAATTTAAGAAGCATTTTATGTAGTACATTTGTATTTTGTTTTATATTGTATTTTAACTCAAATATTTATGAAATAGGCTTACACAAGGCTGTGATTTAGCCTTCAAAATAATCTTTCACTTAATCCTTAAGTAATGTAAGGAATGCAAATGAACATAAACACGCAAAACCATCTCAAAACCGTTACAGTAATGATTATTATACCCGAATATCAGACACTCTTTAAGACAGCAGTAAACCCTAGTTGATCAGTGCTATATTCGGCTTATTCACAGGAAAGCGGAACTGCGCACTGTCCCAGACCTCACTATGTACTTGCTACTGTCATTTCACTTGCGAACATCCACATCTGCTAAATGCTGCCAAAATAACTTAATTAAAACAAAACCGATTTATTCTCAAGTTGTGCGTTGTTCACTTAAAAATGTGCATTAACAGTCGCTATTCGTTCACTGAACAATGCTCCATAATTTTCGTATATATTTTCAGCCTATTGAAATGTTTTAAAGACTTTTTCATTAGGCCTATACGACACAATTACGTTTCTTGTAATTGCCTTACACCATATTAAGACATCAGCTGAAGTTAATTTCTACAACTGATTTTGACCATAACACGTATAAAAAGCGTTTAGATAAAATGATGCTGAATGCTTTTTTCCCAGGTGCATAAGGCAAGTCGATTGTAACGAAACCCATATTTATGAACACACAGTACAACCATATTTTAATGTAAACTGGTACGAATATACAAATGATCAAGTGCCACCTTAGTTTAAATAAGCTACTGACATACACATAGTGCTCTATCTGCGACTGTAACATCTGTCAAAAACTTCGACAGCTCCACATACTTCAGTTAATTACGGCGCTTATGTATTTAAAACACATTACTTTACCTTATATCATGCCCTGAGTTCAGATCAATGGACCAAGCATAAAAACAACACTATATATATGTTTTCCGTGTCATAGCCTAGTCTTTTGATCGTACACATGATATTTAACATTATCATACAGGAACTGCGGAGCGTAACGAACTATATTGTGTGGGTGGGTGGAGTCCCCGGAGTTGCTCATCCTGTCTTCATTTGCCGATATTGGTGAATAAATGGCGGACTTCTTCGGAAGTCTCTGTCAAGCCATGTAATTTAATAAAAGAAAACGACAAATTGGCATAAGGCAGTTGATACACATCGACTGAAATGAATGGTTTAGAACCCATAGAGTTGTGGCACATATAAAATGACCGAGACAGAGCCATTAAACACTGTGGTTTTTATATACTTTGTCCATTCTTATAAGATCGTTTAATAGACGCACTGTGCGTTATTAACTCGTTTAAAAAGCACCTTGCAAAATCACTTATTGATTTGAAATACTACTCGGTAGAAATAACATCGGAGGGGAAATTGCGCTAATTACTTCTACCAGAAGACATTCAAAGGCTGTTAATCCCAACTTTTAGTCACAGCTATATCTTACAGGTTGAGTAAAGAACAGTCTATCGTCTGTAGACGGTACAGCGCATATAAGCTATATCGATCGCATAAGCAATCAAATTATTGATTGAGTTTTATAGCTGGAGTCAGTCCTTGTCTGATATAAACTACACAGTCCTACTGATGTGTGGTTAGTCTTTTTATATCACGGAAACCTTCTCCCTACGTGTTATCCACGTGTCAGATATTTTTGATTCTCATAAGAAATTTACAAACGAGAGGAGGCCATTCGGCCCATCAAGCTCGTTTGGGGATAACTTAACTAATAGCTCAGAGTTGTTAAAATCTTATCTAGCTCTGATTTAAAAGAACTCAGGGTTTTAGCTTGCGCTACACTAGCAGGAATACTATTCCACACTCTAACTACACGCTGTGTAAAGAAGTGCTCCCTCATGCATGTGTTAAGTGATAAACCCGTCCAAAACTTTGCCTCAGTATAATATAACTTAAGCTATAACTATAGCTTCCTCAAAGTGGAGAAATGTGCCCTTTCCCACGACATTTATCATGACAGTTTCTCGAGCAGTAGTGACTGTGCATAGATCACTTTATTTTTTATCATTATGCGGTCGTTAAAATTTCATATCTTCCTCAGTGATCCCCTATTGCCTGCAGTGTTGTAACTTCCTTATTTCAAAAGTTAAGATGTAAAACTCGCATTCCATTTTGTGCGTCCCTTACCGTACTGTATGTCCTCTGCTGCCTGGCGGATGATTCAGAGTAATGTATTTAACAGCTGTCATTATTTTTTCTGAGATATTCGCTGTATTATTGTGACTATAAGAGTTGGCTTTCCATTTAGTGGTTTGCCCATTAACACTGTTAACACAGTTCTAAAACTTATTTTTCTAAACAGATTTACATAAATGTGGCGATCCTACCGCGCGCTGAACCACCGTAAGGGTCTAATCAGCCCTGCATTACAGCCTGCTTTCCAAACAGGACGTTACCTGGCAATAGATCCTACCTTATTTCACTCAGACACAACACTTCTGATCAATCAGATCTTTCCATGAATGTTCTGAAATTCCTCAAGGACATTCCAGGCCAGACTGACATACAGGTGTAAAATGGGCCTTTCTTGATGAGACAAGCTGGGGTGATCATCAATTTAACTGTAACAAATGGCAGTTCAGTTTATTTGTAGATCAGTTCAGCATAAGGCTTCTGATTATGAATGATGTATCCAGGGGCAGACAGTAACGAAGTATACATTTACTTGAGTAATGTACTTAAGACATTTTCCGAGTATCTCTACTTTACTTGAGTATCATTTTTTTAGAGACTTATTATAGTATTATATTATGTAGTTTTTACTGTAATTTCTGTGAAGTTGCTCGCTACTCATTACTTCAAAGCATAGCTGTGGAGTCAGTGGAAAAAAAATCTTTTCTAAAATGCAATAGGCCATATTGTGTTCATCACAAGAGAAAAACCAATTACAGCAAACTACTCCTGCACTGTCGGTCAAGTTGCTGTTGGGCAGTTATAAAGCTAGAGGTGTGTAACTGGGTTGATTGTTTTATTTTCTGAGCAAGTTGCATCTACAGCAATTACACTGTTTGCCAGATGAGTGCAAACACACTCACACACACACACACTCACACACACACATGCACAGTGTCAGAACACTACAATGGTGTTACATTGGGGAGGGGTGGGGAGGGTGTTAAATTAAAAAAAAAAATGAAAATGACAGTGGTTTTTCTCTTGTTGAGTCAATTATGTTTCTATGGTCATTGTATCATATTCCACAAACTTTCATTCAGTAGGTTCAGAGTCAATAGGTTCTGAAAATTCTTTGAGGCAACAATACAACTATGCATTGACATTAAAAAGATAATGTACTTTTGAATACTTAAGTCATTTTAAATCCCAGTACTCCAACCTTCACTTGTATTGGAGTAATATTTGGCCAGAAGTATCCATACTTTGACTCAAGCAATGGAGTTGTGTACTTTGTCCACCTCTTGATGTAACCCAATGCTTATAGTCACCAACATAAACTATTTAAACTAAATTTGGGGAACACCTCTGTGGTGTGAGACCCCTCCTCTAATTACACTGCAGCTCTACCCATGTGAAGGTCTAGCTCAACCCTCATTTTATCTATTTGACTCCATTAACCCATCTTAAAATTACGGCCCATTTAACAACAACAACAATAATAATAATAATAATAATAATAAATTCATTAAACACAGTTTCCCTCAAAGCACCCCTCTGTTCAGATACCGATCAAATAAATCAGATGCTGACCCAGAGTAATGCTCTCTGACCAGGTGTGATACATTGTATTTCTTGTGTTTCAAGATCAAAGCGTCCTTGTAGCCTAAGTTTGCTTTAATGTTATAATGTTTCTCCCATTAGGAGGAAAGTGTGGGTGGTGTGTGGTTCTGTGGGTTAGGACATCTGATGAATAAATAAAAGGTTAGTTCACAGACTCTGTACAACGGTGATGATTAAATAAAGGTATCACAGTGAAGTAGCAAAATCTTATCTACTATGGTGGTGTAGTTAAAGACCAGGCCACGTTCTAGGTCACCAAGTCACCAAATTTCTTGTGAGTGGGAAATATCTTCTTTATTACTAGAGGGGAAATTTGCGCATGAAGTAACTTGCCAATGCCTTATATTATTGATTAAAACATGTTTTGTCAATGATACAGTTTTTTCAGTCAGCAGTAGGCGGGTTGATAGCATGAAGCTGGCAGTTTTGCTGTGGACGGCCCAAACCCCCACCCCCACTCTGCGGGGCTTCCCATAAGCTTACATCACGGCTGGGTAGAAGAGGCAGAAGAAGTGTGGTCTGATTACTCACAGGTGGAAAGTGACTCAGTGCGGACTGGGAGACTTCTGCGGAAGAACCGTGTTCCGTACATGGATTTGTGGTGATATTCGAAGTAAAACAAAAGAAGGGAAAACTTAAAACAACAACATTATATTCCAATTTATTCGTTTATAATGACAGACACTGAGGAAACTGAAATACACATTGACTGGAACATGGTCATATATGTTTTGTTTTGTGGTTTCTCTCAGCTCAGTGTAAAACACTCATTGTGCAACTTGATGTTTCGTCACTAGGAAAGTTTGTCCCGTAGGCCTACATTAAATATAGATATGCATGTTGTATCACATGAAGAATTTCTCATTCTAAAGCAATATATATATATATATACCCAGGAAATTTTGGAAACTTTGGGAAATATTTCTGTAATATTGCATTTGTTGCAATGTCTCAACTAGTAAAGTTCTATCTAAGGAATAAGAACAGAAGTTAAAGGAAATGTTTTGTTATGTTTTGAATTTCCTTCTAACAGAAGTGTTTGGTAGCTGGTTCAGTTAGCAGATTTGCTATTTTTAACAGGTCCATCCTGTATCCAGTAACATTTACTTTTATAAAGCACTGTGCAACTCTAGTTTCCAGTTTCCAGGGTTCTGAATTGGATCAGGTCCCAGTTCTGTTCTCAAAGTTTGGTCCCGGGTCTCATACGGGTACACTTCATTCCTTCCCTTTCCTGAAGTTTCCGCCATTCCTCTTCCTTCAGGCTGCATCGATGTGCCCTGAAACTTTTTAAGACCTGCCTCCTTTGTTTCTCATTTACATAGGATACTGCACTTGTTGGTTGTGGCTATCAAAACAGGCAAACAGATTAAATTTATACTGAGAAAGCGTAATGTAATGACAGCATGCAAAAGGACAATCAGTGCTCTGTCAGAAGCAGCACAACAGTTGTCCATCTGTCTGAAAAGAGACAGTCGGTGATTTTAAGGGTTTTTTTTTGGCCTCAGACACTTGGCTAAACAACAGCTAATGCTGTCTGCACGTCTGGAAGAGTCGGGATGTGTCTGGCAGACACAGACAGGGCCGATATTCTCCCTTTGTGATGGTTTTCAAACAACTTCTCCCTCTGTTTGGTTAACATGCGAGGATTACCGGTCAATCGCCTTCAAAGCGAAACAAACATTACACTGCAAAACAGGCCAATAGAAAACAGATAACAGAGATCTCATTAGTAGGCAGTCATCTATGAGAGCAGGTGTCAGATGAAATCAGGACTTACAGGTCTACCTGTTGTGAGGTTTTTTTTTTAAAAGGTTCTTTTAATATTACTTCAAAACTTTAGGAGATTTATTTTAGATTTGTACATGCACCGACAGTAAGGGTGCGTAGGGATTTTTGTGCAAAGCTCTTAGAGTCAGTATTAAGAAAGAGAAGTAATAACAATCAAGATAAGTAATAAGGATACAAAATAAATAGTAAGGAGACACTAAAATGCAACAAATAAATACTATGGTGTCATCATTGACATGGCAAATGGTTATATTAGCATTGATTTATTGCTCATTAATTGAAAATTGCATTGAATTATATTATTTTTGTTTAGTTATTTAGTTGTGCATAATAATTAGCAAAATGAGAACATTTTCAAAAGGAATACTGTTTCATATCAATAATTGTTGTCATTGTCTGACATTGAAGTTTTCCTTTACAGTTCTTGTTGGAACTTTGGTATTTATACTTAGTCATATTCTCCAAGTTTTCAGGTTGAGTTATAGATACACTGTGTTGTTGTTGTGTCGATACACATATGGGTTTAATCTCTTTAGATTAAACTTTGGTTTTAGCTTGTGAACAAATACAACTGTTTCTTGCTTTGAAATGTTTATGAAGTTCGGGATTTTTGTATGTCCCTCTGTTTAAGGTGGGGTTTGTGAGTCCAGTATATTCTTAGTAAGGGGGATGGACTATTACTGGTAACAAAACACTCAATGTTTATAAACAAGGGAGCAGTTCAAATCAAATATGAAGTCATCCAGCTTCCTCTGTCACTGCTTGGCAACGGGGAACTGGCAGGGTGACTTAGGGGACTGTTGCTGTATCACACCCACTGCCCCCCCCCCCCCCCCCCCCCCCCCCCCCCCCCCCCCCCCAAGAAAGTTGTCATCCTTTGTTCACTTTGCATCTTTGTCTTGATACCCGAAAAGGCTGCCTTGTGGACTTCAGTTTGCCATGAGACCTCTATAATGCCCCCAAACTCCTCACGTAAGCAGCATAACACCGGGTGTTTCATAATGAAGGCCTGTTTCTTCAGCATCGAACTATTCAGCAAATGTACTTTTGGATTATCAGCTCTTACACTGTCAGAAAAAAGCATACATCCCTGGGGTGAATTTACCGAAGCCTTCTTAACGTTATGTTGTTCATAAGTTCGTAATCTTTTAACATAGTACTTACGAACGATGGAGTATTAAGAAGGCTTCGGGAAACTCACCCTGGTTGTTTCATTCCCCAAGGTACAAACAACATCCAAGTGCCCCCAATGGTACAAAAATGTTCCTCTGAGTCCATATTTGTTACCTTAAAAGGTACATTTACCTACAGCTAATGGTACAATTAGCAAACCCTTAAGGGTACAGTCCCAGTGATTGTGTCTAATTATTAAGAAGTAATTGTACCTCCAAAGGTACTTTCTTCCTGACAGTGTACTTTTTCCTTTTCACTTCTTTAACTTCTTAAAACAATGTTCAAGTGAACATGAAATAAGGAAATCAGTTTAAAAATACCCCATTGTCTTATTTAGAAAAAGCAGTTGGAAGATGAATTGATTTCAAGTAATTGCTGTTTTTAGACAACTGTTACCTAATTAATAATTAGCTATGTATTCAAATTTAATACAAAATATGCAAAAATCCAGAAAAGTTACATGTTATATTATAGGGGCATTGATTGACTGTCTGTTATGTGTCAGAAATATTACTGATAGCAATTGTACAATACAATAAAATGACATGCTGGAATCAGTCATATTCACTTTCACCAGGGTTTCAAAAATGGAAAACCAAAACTACTATGACGTCAGGATCCCTGTAACACAAAGAGCTAAAGTGAGAAAAAAAAATATTTGCTGTACTACAGTAATTTTGGCGCTTTTTATTCATTTACCATGATATGTATATATGTGATGCACTGTGAGTGTGTGTCTGTCTGCAGCTGATGTTTTGGACAGATGCTGGAACATCTGCACATCTCGCTCATGAGGTGCCAGCTTGGGACAGGCCTTTATGTCACTCTGTTCCCATTTGAATAGCAGCTTTGTAGTAAATTTGTGCTTCATTCGCTGCTTGATTAGTCTGACTAAGTCGTCAAGCTATGAATTCAGCTTGTAGCGCTCTGATATCTGCGGTCATGAAATCCTGTGAATGACTGGTGTTGATCCACCTGAAGAACATCACAGGGCACTTGCTGGGCCCTCTGCAGATGCCCTGCCGAGCAAACAGGTCAGTGGATGATGCAGTCAGCATGGGACTGCACTACATCCTGCAGCATGTAGACTGCCCAGGGACATGAAGTCCAGTTTGTGGACTTCAGTTCGGCCTTCAACGCCATCTGTGTTCCTCTGCCCATCCTCCAGGACTAGTATGCTACAGGAAACGGGCCGGGAAAATCATCACAGGTTCCTCACACCCAGGACACATACTTTTCAGCTCCTCCTCTCCAGCACACATTACAGAACCCTGTATAGCAAAACCGCTGGAGACAGGAGCCATTTCTTTCCTCATACCATCAGCCTCATAAATAGCTGACCGGTATCATCAGCTGGGCCGCAGCTACTCCTGATTTACACCCTGCCTCACATCTACAAATAATGTATTGTGTAATCTCATACGGAATGATCATTATTGCTGTTGGCATTTTATGTATACCAGCTGTATTTAATCTGTATATGGCTTGTATATTGTGTATTGCCTGTAAATTATATGCTCATTGTGTATTGTCTAACTTGAGAGAGACAATTGGCTGGAACCAAATTGCTTGTGTGATATATATATATAGATCGAGAGAGAGAGAGTGTGTGTGTTATACTTCAAATTTAAAGCATTTCTTCTGGCAGTTGTCCTAGGTGAGTCCTAGTTGAGAATATTTTAACTGCTGGGATTCATTGTACATGGACAAATATGTATGTATAGGTAATTTTATTTTCTTTAAACTACAGGCTAATTATTATATTTTCAGATAATAATATAATATTTGGTTGAAACAAAAGCCGCCAAGCTTCTGTCTGACTGACCTACTTTATATGCACACAGAACAGCTGATATAACCAAGATTTCTCTAATTTAACTTGGAGTTCAACAGCCCAAGCTTGTAGTCTGAGAGGAGCTGGGCTATGTAGGAGCTGTAAGTGGGCGGGGCTTTCCCCTAATTTGTCATGTGACATGTGATGTAATTCCACAGTAGTAAGTAGCCTGGGAAGGGAGAGGAAGAGTCATGGAGACAGTGGGATGCAGGCGTCTGCCTTCTTATGCTCGTCCCCTCAAATCCACCGAGTCCTTTCAAGGAAGTCTAGTCATTTTTTTGTTAAATTTCAAGTCAAATAGATATAGCAGTATGTAATTTTTTAAAATTCTTAAAAAAACAGTATCTCTTACAGGTAAGAAAGAATTTAAAATAGTTTGTTTATTTCGTTTTTTTAGTTATTTTGTTGAGCCTAGATAATATGAACAGATAATACTGAGTATTCTGAAAACAGAATACCGCATTGCTGCTGCTTGATTATCTGTTTTTTTTATTGAGATTAAACAAATTTATTAAAAATAAATAATTAAATATGATTTAACATGTATGCTACAGCTATCTATAATTTTAAAAATAAATTAAAAAGACAAGACATGATGTAATACACACATATAGCAATAAATGTAGTGGAATTTATGTGACTTCATTAGGCCTTGAGATCCATATTAAAATATGTAACCATATATATATATATGGATATAGAAAATAAAGTGTCATAACTGCATTCATTGTATTGATTTTAAGACAATTACATTAATGTTAACGGTCTAAACAATGCTTATATAAAGGTCTAATGAATGAAAGAGTGCTGATATCAACTTTGCTTCCAAGTAGAACAGCATATCTCAACTGTCTTATTGGTGCAATAGAATTAGTTCAATGAAACAAATACAGTCTGATGGCACATGGTCTTCTCACGACCTAAGAAGAAACCTCATTTCCACCAGTTCTACTTTCAACCTTGTTTTTTCAATCTATATCCACAGCACATGACCATGGACATAGATTGACTGGTAACCCATGAGCCTTGCCGTTCACCATCATAGACCTGCAAGATTGGAACCACCAATCCTGTCTGCCCGTCAGTCGCCTGTTCCCTGTTTGTCGTGACTGGTGACTGAGATCCTGGAGGTACTGCATCTGTATCTGTAATTGATCATGACACTTTACATAAAGGCCATACCAGTGTATTTACAATCAGCGAAATCTATCTGGACGCCAGATTTTCAGTATTATATGGACACTTACTTACACCTACAATCTGATAAGCAGGTTAGTAGTAAAACGTTAATGAGAGGCGTGTTGTGATGCCCAGAAGTTAGCAATCTGTATAAATTTGCCGTATCCTTATGTTTCATAATGTATCCTTATGTTTCATAAAAGTGTCAGACTTTAAACTGCAAAAAGTACCACTACATTACCGTCTTTTTTTCCAGGTTTATCTACAACATCTCCTCTTTTAAATGATGTCGTGGCTGCTAAGCCACTTCACTGTGACTTCAGTGCTTATTGCTTCCATGGCAAAACAAAACAGTAGCACGTGTAGCATGTTGCATTCTGCTAACCACATTTAATAAACATAGAGAAATGCACTGATTACAGCACGTTGCCACACCCACCACATGAAAAACTACCTCAGGGATGAGAACCTGAGTGCAGCCGTGTGGTGGGTGAAACCTCAGCACCACACTGATCCAGTGGCTGGAGTGCCAGTCCTGCCACCAACCCCCAAGTTGAAGGACCTCCTTACAGGACTGGGTGTAGATTACGTCATACCCAGGGATAGGCTGAATTTATTCAGATTACTTTTGGGCATTACAATATGCCTCTCATTAATATTTTAGGTGTACTACCAATCTGCTTATCAGATTGTGGGTGTAAGTAAACTTTTGCATAGTACTGAAAAGCCAGTGTCCGGATAGACTTTGCTGGGTGTAAATACTCTGGTACCCCTGTTATCTAAAGCCCCATAACAGTTGTCTCTTTTTTCTACTTGTCACAGTGAGATGGACATAACTGCGTTACAGAGGGAAGACTGTGTTGAGTCGGGACAGGAAGAGGAAGCTGAACATCCAAAAGTTGAGAAAGAAGAGAAGCAATCACCTGATGTAAGAAAGCCATTAACTGAAGCAAAAGCAGAGGGGAACGCTGGACAAGTCAACGCAGTGGGTTTAAGAAAAAGATTTTGGTGTGTCGGCCACAAGTTCGCGCTGAAAAAAAAACAGAGTGAAAAGGCAGAGGCACTGAAACAAGAGGAGTCAAACAGTTCCAAGATTCTTGAAGAAGATGCCAACATAGAGGAAGTGAAAGATGTAAAAACACTGCAGGACCTGGAAGAGAACGGCATGGGAGCTGAATCTATGACAGATCTTCCCTTAGTCAAAGTCAGTGGAGAAGTTCCTGATGTACCAGGTGCTGTAGGAACAACAAGACCCACAGAAGAAGTCATCCTACAAACAGACTTACGAACTGAGTTGTCTACTAGGCCTCCCCAGGATGTCGAGTTCCCTTTGAAAATATTCACACATGGGATACTTTCTGGTTTTGGAATGAAGGTAGTTTCTACTCAGCCTGTTGAGGAAAAGTCTTTTGAAAGGGTTCTCCTTGCTGTCGAGGATGAGCCAAGGGAATCAGAGGAAAGTGCAGAATTACCACGAGGCAGTGAAAAGTCCATAGAGACTATGGTGGAGATTCAGAAAGAGGAAGGTGCTATTTCAGGGGTAATTCCACAAACTGCAGAACTGCCCGAAGAAAGACTATATGAGGATGAAATTAAAGAAGAAATTGCAATTGAAGCTAATGGCTCTCAAACAGTTTTAGAGCAGGGAGAAGATGCCCTGGTAGCAGAAATTAGCAGTACAGAATATGAAGATGATGATGATGAAGAGGAGTCAAATTCAGAAGAAGAATCTCCAGTAATGTCATTTGAAGCTGAACTTTTCTCTTCCCTGGAAAAGAAACTTCATAACCTCTTCATAGGAAATTGTAGGAAAAGGTTCCCTACAAAAAAACAGGCAAATAAAGAAGATGAAATTCAGTCAGCAGGAGATGGAGAACCGATCTCAGAAGAGCTTCAGTCACCTGAAAAATCAACTGAGGGTTCAGCAGAATGGTCTGTTCAAATGGAAGATGCTGCTGAGACTGATGAAGATGCCAATGTTCTTGTTAATGAAGAAAGGAAGAATAATGGAAAACTACCCTGGTCTTTATTAAAAAAACTGTTCACACCAAAGAAACAGGTTAGAAGATCTTCTGAGAGCGACGGTGAGGGGCCTAATCTCATTTTTAATAAAGAAGAAGAGGAACAAAAGCCAAGTGAGGCAAACCAGGAAACTGAACTTGATAAGAAAAAACCCACAAAGAAAATTCATTCCTCTGTATCTTGGGAGACGTTGCTATGTTTGAGGTCAGCTAAAAAGAGCGCCATAACAGAGGCTCAGGAATTAGCAAGTAAGCATGAAATTGAAGGTTCTTCGAAGGTATACTCTGATGCACCACCAGAAGAACAAAAAGAAATAAATGATAAAGGTGTACCTATGTTATCTGGAGAACTTCCTGAGAATGATGAAACATCCAAGGATTATAAAAGGGTTCTCACTACAGAAACGGTTCTGCAAGAAGTTGTGGAAAATGTTAGTTTGATGCTTGATGCTTTATTAGTAACAACAGCAGATGAGCAACAAGAATCTACCACTCTGCCTGTTATTCCACAAATTTTGGACCCAAGCACAAAAGAGGATAAAACAGTTCTTTTGGCACGTAAAAACACAGATGCCATTGCTATCTGTAGACACCTACAATCTAACAACTTTGAACTTGTGGAGGAAGTACAGCTCCGAACTGCTGAAAGTGCAGTCACCAAAAATAACAAAGAGAACTCAGAATTGACACAAATTGTGGATGATGTTCCAGAAACTGAGATAAAAGGTCTACATGAAGTTGCACCAGCTCAAGGAGCACTTGAAGAGGAAGAGCTGGCCAGACTCTTTGAAACCCTTCACACAGAAGACATAACAAAGCATGAGGCCAATGAAGAACTAGTATTTGGTCAGTCGGCACAGACAACTGAGGTGTCTATTACAGCAGGAGAAAAACATGAGAAACCTGAAGATATCAAAGAGTCAACCGATTTAGATGCACCAATCATAGACATTAAATCTGACTTTTAAGTGGCTTTAACTAATGTTGGTCCTACTGTAGCGTTTATTGTGAAGCAAGACAGAGACATAGATACTGTTGAGGCTAAAGCTACACTTGTCAAAAATGAGAGCACAATTAGTGCCTCAGAGAAAATCCATGATGTTATAGGTAAAGTATTGGAAACATTAAAAGAATATGAAAGTACTAAAAAAAACATGGTGATCCATTGGGACTCATTAACAACAAGAAACAAGATTGTGGATGAAATATCAAAAGAAGTTCAAGTATGCAAGACCAGAAATGTAGAAAGAGAACGAGGAGGGGCATTAGAGGCTGTGACTGTTAGAAATATTTATATTCAGACAGAATGGGCAGAAATATCAACATGACACAAAAATAAAGGAAGAAAATTCATGTCAGGGGAAGATCTTTGATTCTAAAGATGGGGAACCAGCAGTAGCAACAGAGACAGCTGATAATGGAAAACTACAAATATCCCCCTAATAGAATTACGTTGCAACAATGGAAAGTGGTCAAGTATATAAACATCAGATGCAGTACAAATTTAAAAAGCAGTACCATTTGGGAATGAAAATACAAGATATTGAAGTTAACCAATGTGAAACTGTCGAAACGGAGAAATCAGCCGATTGTGTAACGCATGACACAGATCTGAGGGAGAGTGATTCTCACGGGTCTTGGTTTGCCAAGTGGCCAAAACAGATGATCCCCAAAAACCTATGGATGAATGTTTATGAAGCTCAACTGGAGGTTATATGGTAAAGGCATAATCAAAGAGGGATCCACAGGAGTCATGGTCAGTGAGAAAAACCCACCTGGACCAACGGAAAAATGAGTCAAACTATGGATCATTAAGGTGAGAATTAAGGTTGAGTCAACTGGCATAACAGTGACTACAACACAGGTTACAGAGCAGGGTTAGGCAACCCTGATCTTAGAGTGCTGGTATCTAGCAGGTTTTCTATCCTACCTGGTCTCTGATGAACCACGCCTGGCCTCAGGCAGCTAGTAGGATAGAAAAAATGGCAGATATCAGAAATCCAGGAACAGGGTTGCCTATCCTGGAAATATGCCTCAAGTGGACATATTTCAGCATTTAAAGGGGTCACTGTTAAACAGCTTTGAAGATGAAATACTGAAATATTTGATGCTAGGAAAAAATTGCAAATTCCTCTAGTGAGAGAAATGAGGAAGTAAATCTTCAGTTTGCAGCCAATGTAAAAACAAAAAAAAATATCTACAGTAGCATTAAAGAAAATGCATGGTGCTTTTTTTCATAATGCACCACATTTTCAGGATTTATTACTCTGTGCCGCATGAGCTGACAACAGATAAGGTTTGGCTGGAAGATTGCAGGATGGAGCAGGACCAAAGGCGGTCAGGACAGCATGTCAACGTTTCAGATATCCTTCTTTTTCCTTGTCTTTATCTCCCAGTGCTCAGTGTGGCTAAACACTAAACATCATGTAATTAATGCACATATATCTGTGGTCCTGTTTTGCTCTGTGTCTATTAGATTTAATCTAAAACAAGATCTAACTCAAATGGCCTGACTCTTTTAGCGTAAGTTTTTAAAATACTTCCTCAGTCAGCAGGAAATTATATGTAATTACACAACGGACAATGCAAAGTAGAACGTGCTATGGAATGATTTTATTTGAATAATATTTCTTTTAACAATGCAATGCAAATTATAGCTTTTTAATTTAGTAAACGGAGGTTTTCCTAGGTTGTTCTGTGCAGATATGCCCTCTAGTGGTGATCTATGGAAATTAAGTCTAAAACATTAACTAATAACTTTAATTGTGTGTCGTTTCGAATTATGTGTGCATAACAGAAATTGTTCAGAATGTTAGGCCAGAAACAAGTCAGATGGAAATTTAAAGAGTAACTGTTTTATCCACAACACATGCGTTTTACAGCGTTCACGATCTCACTTAACGTAGCTGCACGTGCTTTCGGACTTAACAAAGGGGTGATTATGGCTTAATAAGGCGACAGTTGAAATTATTCCGTTTTTTATGATGCTGTGACACCAGAGAATCAGATAAACTTCCACAAGAAACAAAATGAATTTTTTTGCCAATCAATGGCGGCAAAAAAGAGAAACATTTCCTGGTACTTCCTTCTCTTTATTTCAGAAAGAATAAAATGAAATGTATTTTGTGGGTTTAAAGAGGAAGTCTTTAAGATTTCATTGACGATAACCGAGGAGTGACATTTGAACTCATGTACCTAAAAAGCTAACATTGTGTTTTAATTAAACCATGGCTTTTGAAACTGATCGATCGTGGTAATAATTGTGTTAAATTAAAACCAATAAGATGAGTTCGGTAGAAATCAGTCACGAGGTAACAAGTCATTTTAAAGCTGTGGATGTGGTTGTTTTGTAAAAATGTGACAGCTTGCAATTTCAACAGCACGCCCCCTACAGGATCTGAAAAGCAAGTTCGATATTCACCAATCGCAGCACACCCCTGATCAACTTACCAGTAGTTCTCAGTAGACGTCAGAGTGAGATATATTTGTATGCTGAATGCACATCTGCCTCGTGGCTAACGGTCAGCTGGAGGGGCTGCATCGGCCTACCATGCTGTAGAGCAGGGGTGTCAAACTGCAGTCCTGGGGGGCCGGAGCCCTGTGTAGCTTAGTTCTTTCCCTGTTCCACCACAAATGATTCAGCTCAACAGCTATGTGGTAATTAGCACATGAAGTTGAATCAGGTGTGTTAAATGAGGGGAAACCCAAAAATGTGCAGGGCTCCGGCCCCCCAGGACTGGAGTCTGACACCTGTGCTGCAGAGCTACTGTACATGGGTTGATAATGGCCTTTCCCAGAGACCCACCATGAGATCACTCTGCCAACTCTGGGATTCGAACTAAAAACCTTCAAATCACAGGAACTGCCTCACTACTCACCAAACCACACAGCGCCCCCAATGATGAGGCTCGTTATAATAATAAATTAATAATTATTATAATTACAACAATAATGGCAGTAGTAATGGCAGCAATTATATATTATAATTGGATAATTATATTACTATATAATTATATTATATATTATTATCATCCTGAGCAGGTCCCCCCCCCCGGTAAATCGTCTGTAATTGCACCCCCTGCTGGTCATATGAAAATGCTATTTGTAATGTGATACATAGGCTATTTGAAAATGTTACTTGAGCTAGTCATATCATTTTGTAATAATAATGTATTACGGATGGATTTACTTTTTTTTTTTTTTTTTACTAATTTACTCATTATTTAAGGCACCCAACACGCCCCCCCCCCACACGTCCCTGTTTTAAAATAATAATAATAATAATAATAATTATTATTATTATTATTATTATTATAATGGGGGGAAACAGTTGAACAGCTTTCACTGAACCATGAGGGCACGAGAAGTGATGACAGCTAGATTATTAGCTTCCATACACACTGTGTTACCGTTAAACACACACAGATAATAACGTCATATTTTTTTCTGAAAAAACATTTTATTTTTTGACTCTTCACATGAAAAAAAGGAGAAATAAGGGTATAGCATACATTCCTGAGGACACAGATCACAGCAAACGTCCTGCCTCTGTGACATTTCCAATGTGACCCGTTTGTAATATAAAGCCCAGTACATAAATGAAGGAAAACCAAAAACAAACAAAACACGATTTTCTTTTTCCCCCGGCTGTTTAAAGTCCCCCCCCCCCCCAAATACAGTCGCAAGCTGGTCATTTTAAGCCCGTTTAATACCTAAGGATTCACTTTTGAGTCAAACTTCTCTTCAGTAGTCTTCACTATGCAACGCAGCCTGTTGCAATACACCCCGTGTGTGATGATGCATCTACTTCAATGCAGGAAGTCGTCAGACACAGCAGTCCCACCATAAACCCATAACTATCCAACCCCTGTCGCAAGCGAACAGTCTTCCAAAACAAAATCCATAATAATTATGGGATTCGTTGTTGCTTTTTAGTCAATAGTGTCATTCCAGATTTGCAATATCACACAACATTCCTGCAAAGCCGTAGACATCACGAATGAACGCGGTACGCAGAGCTGCACAATCCATTAAAAGGACGTAACATTACTGATGACAAGATGAAAATATAAATTAGTATTTGCTCAACCAGTCAATGTTGTAAAAAATCAAAATATAAAAAGCGTAAAAAACTTTAATACCTGATCGCTAGGTTCTACATAAAGTCGTAACACTATATAGGCACAAATATTGTAACTTGTTTTTGAAAATACAGTATTCGGTACAAAACTTCGTAAAACTTGAAATTTTGGATTCTATGAAGAGGTTCAAGTAAAATTGCTGAACTGGCAAAAATACATTATGCAGAAACTGACCTATTCACATTAACATTTTTAAACTCATTCTTGGTTTTAAAATTTAGCATATGACATACATCAAACTTAGCTATGAAAAGTTGAACAAACGCAGCAAACAGCGGCGCGTGATCGCCAAGAGCTGAAAGCAGGCCAGTGTTTCCAGTTTCTGTATAGATTAACTACATTCTCTATCAACACTGAATCAAGGGAAACGTTATTACTATGTATCTTGCTCTTATTGCTTAAAAATTTTAGAGAATGATCAAATTAATTAATGAACAAGTTATGCGCCACCTGATTAATTAACTAACCTTTAATTAAACAATTCATATTTAGTAATTGTGGCAGATGTATTTCTCTAAGGATCTAATTGCAATAATTTTAACTGTTTTTAACCATGATTTTGCAAGTATATGTTCATTTCACAGAATTTCAATATTAGGTTTCAGAGCTCTCCAGTATTTTAATAAAAGCTTATTTACATATACCTAATTTTACCCATTTGAGAAAACAAAACTTAATTTGTTCATGCATTATTTTTCCACTGGGCTCAAAGTGGGAGGGGCTTAACGTAACGACAACACAACCAGCCAATCGCAGTTTTTGTACAAATTATGGAGTACTACCTGTTTTATACGTATTATTATTAATGTCTACATTTTAGTTCTACCTGACCACGTCTTCACCACAGAAATAATCTGGTTGGAGAAGTAAATATCTAAGTGACGTGATGGCATAAAAAAACTACAGAATTCAGAATTTAGGAATATGCATATTATCTGCAATTCAGCAGTCAAGCTACTTTTTCAGCTGCAAAAACTAAAAATGCCTTGTTATTTCCTTATCAGTGAAACGGTAGCAATAAATGAAGAGTTCCTGAAATGAAATGTCCCTAATGCCCTAATAGTGCACCAGGAGGCTATGGACTTTAATACTTTCCCTGCTGCAATGTGAAAAAAAATTAAGAAACAAGAGAAACTACACCTGGACCCTGGGCACATGGGCGGACAGTGATTTAAAGAATAGCTGAGTTTGAAATACCTTTGCTCAGCTTTTTCAGCAAATGGCAGTGTTTCGTAATTAAGCGATAAAAACATTCTAATAAAAAACTTTACGAAACAATAGCGAGGTATCACAAAAGCTAAAGTTCTAAATTCTTTGTTGTGCAAGCATATACTGATCTTTTACTATTACAATTCCAAAAAAAATGAATTCTATTCATCTTCATAACTGTAACACTGGACGCCGTAAGAGGATATTTTACGGCATATATTTATAAAAAACCAAATAAACCCGTTTGGTATTTGTACAACTAAAGCTAGCTAAATAAAAACATTGCTGCACCTACAAAGATAGTCCTATTCCACTAAAATGTCCTCGGTTTTAATAAGATTGATAAATGGTTTGGCGTCCGAAGAGTCCGACCCCTCATCTTTCGGCAGTTCATCACCCGGCAGTGCCGACTGGCTGTCCGAATCAGAGGGGACCTTAGCATTTAGTGCGAAGCAAGCGTGTTTCATGACCTCACCGGGGCTAGACAGACTCATCTCACAGACACTGCATTTGTAAGGCCGGCTGGCAGACAGAAAGAGCGCCTCCACCTGGCTGTTGTCTTCGTTGGGGCACAGCTCTATGCTGCGCCTGTTGACCATGGTGTAGGAGTCGGAACTCTGGTGGAGACACACGTGGCGTGCCGCCTGGTTGGCGCGACAGAAGCTCTTTCCGCAGGCACTGCACTTGTACGGCTTGCCGGTGTGGATATACATGTGCTCCCTCCAGTGGCTCTTCTGGATGAATTTGCGGCCGCACGTGGAGCACTCGTACTTGCGCCGCTTGACCTCGCGCTCCAGGTCCATGGCCTCCAGGTTGTCGATGTCCGCTATGTCTGAGGGAGGTGGGGTCTCTGACTGCGACTGAAGGCCCTCCGCGTGGGGCGAGTCGGTTGCCAGGTGTTGCTCGCCGTCGCTGCCGCCGCCGCCGTCGCTGGCCACGCGCTGGGGCTCGTCCGGGTCTCGTGAACACTGCTCTGGGGTAGAGGCACAAGGAAGGGGCAAAACCCCAGAGAGGAGAGCCTCTGAAGGGAACGTCACCTGAGCGTGGAGGAGAAGGTGATCCCGTAGGAGACCCCGCTGGCTGAAACGGTCCCCACAAAGGTGGCAGGAATAATGCTTCCGGAAGGATGCGTTCCTTTTCATGATGCTAGGCTTGACATGGAGGATGGTGTTAGCCCTGGGGCTCTCGCCCAGCATCTCCACGTCCTCTGAGGAGGACGGAATCGGCTCTGGGAGAAGCTCGGAGGGGCCCTTGACCTCTAAGACATCTGCCTCTATTGGGGGGGAGAGGTGCGTCCTGGACGAAAACCCGCCGGGCTGCTGGTCCGAGATCTGGATGCCGTAGAGCGACGTGGTCAGCAGTGCGCTCTGCTCCACGTGCAACAGTGTGCCCTGGCTGGCCATGCTGGCTTCCTGGAGCAGAGGGAAGGCGTGCAGGAACTTCACACCCTGCTCCAGTCGCAGAGGGTCGATAAGCTGCGGGGCCAGCTTGCCTGTGTACATCAGGTTCAGGAGGTAGCTGAAGATGTCAGGCTGGATGTCTGCAGGCTTCAGCCGGACACAGTCACTGAAGGGAGCAGAGAGCAGCAGTTAAAACAGGGGTGAACAAAACACACAACCACATGGTAAACTCATCACACTAGGACACTCATGAAATCAACTGAAAACCAACATTCAATTCTACTATGCTTTATATTTCTTGGTAGCTTAAAAACACATGCAGTGGCCGGGATAACTCATGAGAGCACTTTTATGAACGCAAATTACAGATCTACCAGAACACAAGCCGCGAGAGGGACCTTGCGATCTCCGGCCCCCCGGGTGAGGTCTCACAGTACCTGTCCTGGTGGATAAAGAGCATCCTAAAGTAGTTGGAGAAGGACGCCAGGACAGCTTTGTGAGCTTTGAAGAAGACATCGCCGATGGCCACGGTGCAGTCGCACAGGAAACCAAACCCTCTCTGTGCATTGAGCTGCTGAAGGAGAACGAGACCGTGGTTGGCCAGTTCCATTCTTCGACCTGCACAAAGCCAGAAAAACAAGTCAACTTCCTGTCAAGCCAACACAAAAAAAAACAATTAAAAAGAGGCTAAAAGACATTCTGAGAAACCTATTTTGAGGTTAATCTTAAAATCGACAGGAATTCTACACACCTGAGCGGCTTTAGGACAAAACCCGTCTATTAAAACGGTACCAAACTTACGGGGCTTAATTTTTATCAAATGTACTGGCAACAATTTAATAAACTGATTTGGCAACTGATCTGAATGTGAATCTTTGTTTACTTATTTTCAAATAAGCAGATCTTCTTAGTAGGAGTGTATCATACAAAATTTGAACCCATCTAACAGCTCTGCGAAAGAACAAAATAAAAACAAGGCGAAAAATCATAACAATAATCAAATAAGAATAAGAGACGGCAAGCCTGTCTTGGCTCGGCACGTAAGGTCCCCGCGTGCGCCCATAAGGCGGTTATTTCCGACGCGGCTCGCGCTCGTTGCGACACCCAGAATGAGGCAAGAGGCAGCTTGCGCCTGGAAGTTATTACGCGCCGCCTCGAGCCGCACCGGCAATGTGCTCAGCAGGGCTGCCGATACGGAAAACTGAAACCATACCGGCCAGACTTGATCTGAAATAAAAGTCTTGCTTTTCCGTACACATACAAGCTGCCACAACGACAAAGTAGTACGTTCTTTAGCAAAAGGGTATCAGTGCCAAAGTTTCAGAGAGAGAGAAAAAACACATTAAAAAAAACAACAAACAGAATGCTTGTTCTAACAGTACTTAGTTCATTGATCATATCCCTTAAATGAAACTTTAATTTCATTCTTCCCTGTATTTTTAATTTAATTTTTTTCTTCGTCTCTGTATTATTTAATTATTATTTTATTTTGACCGAAGCATCATTGAAGACTTCAAAGGATCAGTAGCTCAAGGTGATTTGCCCTCCCTGGGCCTCCTTGGATAGGCTCCAGACTAGACATAACTCTCCTCTGGAAATGTAGCATGAAGGATGGTTGGATGATGCAGGTAACAAGCCTTGTTCTAATTGGATTAACTGTTGCAATACTTTCGGTGACAACAAAGTCCAATCATTACAATGAAAGATGCATTATTAACATTAAAGACAAAACCTCATGTGTAATGTCCACTAAGATCTACCTCCCCCGGAGATTCCCGGTCATCTAGCGTGGGATTGTAAGACTGCTGTGATTCAGCAGGGGGCAGAGCAATGAGATTTGGGTAAATTGAGCATCTCCATGGCAACTGATCACCACCCGCGCCAACAAGCGCCTCGGGTAATGAAAGCCAGCAGACACTGATTAAGCTGGGCTCCTCATTAGGGTTAAATAGGGCCGGCTGGGGGGGACTCAGTGGCGAGTCGGGGGAAGCGTGAGGCACATTCCTGCTGAGGTGGCCTGGCTGGTTATTTGTGCCTTTCAGGAATGTAGCTTCAGAGAGACCTTAATTTTGATTCCCCCCACCCACCCTTCTTCCAGTATGATCCGCACACTTCCGTCCCAGCCTTGGTGTAGACGCCCTTCTCTCTAACAGCCCACGTTCCCATTACGCCTCACAGAAACTGGCCATGTGACGAAAACATATTAAAGTTTAGTGAAATAAAGCAGGCGTGTGTCCAATACGGAGGAGACGACAATGCAATGTCAATGAAACTTTACATGCTCCTGGTTTAAACAGCAGCTGGTGGTTGACTGAAGAAATAATTATATTTCAGAAAGAGTGGTCGAATTGACTGCTCTCTTCTTATTTGCATTTGACTTGTTTTTGTATTTACCTCTAAACTACTGCAAATTCATTGTGTACTCCTAGATTCTCTAATTAGTATAGCAGAAATTTTCATTTGTCAGCCTTGACTGCTTGTTGAACATTCATACAATGGCAAAGCAATGCTGCCAAACAGCTTATTACACCTTTGAATTGGGTGCAAGGCCAGGAGTTGACCCTAAAACGGACAACAGCATCATAATAGAAACATTCACAGGTGCGCGTCACTATTTCACCTGAACTTCTCTATTTATGCAGTCAGTTTGTATTTAAAAGTCAAACAGTATCTAAGTGCCTGCAATCATCCACACTATATAAAAGTACTGCAACGGAAATAGCCAAACAAAAACTACTCAATTTTCTCTTTGTATCAAAATTCTTCAAAGCACGTTTACTCTAGCCGACATTTATAGATGCAAACAGTTACAGCTGCATTTAAACATAAATAAGAAGCTGTGGATGCTTTTACAGATATGCGAATAGCTGATTCCAAAGTACTAGATTCTTTTTAAATATTCTCACTTATTTCCAAGTCGTCAGTTACGGGTCAGCTTGCCCACTGATATAAAGCACCATAAAGTTTTGTTTGTTTGTTTTTCTTAATTAGCACTGCATCAAATGTAGGCTGGGACCCTAAACAAATAATTCCCACAGAAGCTCCCTATGTGTATTTAAAATTGAGTGCATAGATTTAAAAAAAACACCACCCCCACGTTGACATGTGGACCGGACAGTCCCCCCGCAGAGTAAAACCACTTCCGCAGTGCGCTTTCCTACGAAAAAAAATCCCCCCGCCCCCCAAACCCCTCCTCCGACAAAAAACACGATAGTTGCGAGCCTCGATCTGCCCCCTCTCCACGCCGCCGCACCGTCGGGGGGAAGGCATTGTAAACTCGCCTTCCTTTCCGCGGAACCGCGCCGGAACCCCGGCGCCACCGGGCGAAATGTCGCCGATCCCCCCTAGAAATCGGATAATAAGTGCGATCGGAGCTTAAATTAAAGCGGAGTTTGCTTTGGGTTGGGGGCAGATAAAGGAGAAGACGCGCTTACCGAATGATTTCTATTTTTTAGAACTTCAAAGTAATATATCACATAGATTATAAATAAACCCTCTCACATCTCCTATAATAAAAAAACAACGCGGATAATTAGTAGGTTAAGCGACCGCATGCGTGACCTACCTTTTTTACTGCGCGATCTTTAATTTAGAGGAGTTTGCTTGTTGTCTCTTACCGGAGGGGGGGGACCTCTCAGCCGGGCTCGGAGCCTCACTGTTCCTCTGAAGCGCAGCATCGGCGGCAGCAGTCGGTGTTTTCCGGTCGCGTTACGTTACGGTCACATGACCCTCCCCGAAGCCCATCGGAAAAAAAGAAGAAGAAAAAAACGCCCCGTCCGGGACGCCTCCGTCTGCAGACCTACCCACTGAATGGTGTCTGACCTTAATGGCTGCGACACGGCGGTAGCTGGCCTGGCTCCCTGCCCGGCTGCGAGTAGACGGGCTCCATGTCTTGTGCTTGCGGAACAATTTAGTTACACTGTTATTTAAGTTGACAGCAGTTACAGCTGCGGGTTTCGGGGGACGGCGGACGGGGGGGTCCCAGTAAGAGTGGTTTGCTTGATGTGTTTATCAGCATGTCAGATGGAATTAACAGTAGAGAATTAAATCATTATTTACAACCTCTCCGCCAACATGCTTACACTATTAACTTGTAAATCAGTTTGAATTTATGAGCAAAGTATGCAAACGTGTTATTATTTTTTATAGTCATTAGCTTTGAGTAAGCCTAGTTCTTTTTAAAAATTAATTTAATGAAATTTCTGCGGATACAGCCATGTCATATTGTTTCAAACTATAAACTTATAACTTTGCTGTTATAAATAAATAAAACCGAATTTCATTAACGTAAGACTTTTTTAGTATATAATGATGTTCTTTATATATATATGTATATATATATATATATATATATATATATAATTACATTACACACACACACACATATATATATATATTTATATATATATATATATATATATATTTGCACACACACATATATACATATATATGTTGCACTGCTATTTAGACAAAAGATTCTGCAATTGTAGTATATGAATACATTGATTTCAAAGGACTTTTTGGATGGTTATGGAAAAGCCACTGTCACTTAAATTGCATGTTGCTTTATAGTAGCTTGATTGTCTGTTATACATCACATTGTGACGAAAGTGGTTTATCACATGCATACCACATGCTGTAGAAGAGCAATCCTACTACTCTGGAGTGGTGACTTCCTGCAGAAGAACATGGCCCCTCCTTTAGAATGTGCTTCGCTGAATGTTTATGCGTTGCCTGGAAACCGAATTTTAACACCGAACATTAATTGACGAAACTCGCCGTACTCTTCATCGCCTCGCGCCAAGTTTGCTTCTTTAGAAATGCAAAGATAATAGATGAGATAAAGTTTGAAAATGGATATTAATAGGTCTGGCGCTGACTCAGGTGAACTGTCTGCTTCATGTTTGAATGAAATGCCCTTTAATACGGTAAGTGTTATAAGACTGTCGTGCTTAATTGAACGGACTAGTTATTGTTTACGTGTTTGTGGTCGTGTTTTGGTGTCTTTTCAGTTTAAATCAGGGAAGAACTCTATCTCAAACGCATTTGACAAAAATGTCCTTTGGAATTTTACGTTGTTTTTCAAAATATATATTTTGATTTATTACAAAACATACAAATTAAAGATATTTTCTGTAAAACATGATAGGCCTATATTTACTTTATGAGCTCATTGTAAATTTCGTGTAACAATACGTAGAACAGCCAAGTTATTGCTATTCTGAAATGTGAGAGTTATTTTACTTATTTGTGTACCTTAAATTTTCTAATCTAAATATTCCCATTCTCTCCTATATTTTATCTATTAAACATAAATTAAATTTAAACTTAAAATTAAACATAATGTTTATTTTCTAAATTGTACTCATTTTAAACTGACCAGCACATATACCAGACATTAATTTATTAAAATTTTCAGGAAACATTTTAATGCAACCCTGTAATCCTAAACCGAATAAGTGGTTTTAAGATGGATGGTTTCATGGATGGATGGATGGATGACGGATGGAAGGAATTTAACACATCCTGTCATTACTCACAGCTCCAAGATCAAGTGGATGTTTTAAAGAGGAGGCTACAAGACAAAGAAGACATGATTTTGGCTCTGACATCAGACACGTATGATGCTGCTTGTGACACAGGGGCAAGAATATCACACATGTTTTCCTAAAATAAACATAAAATCAGAGTTATATATACCATCATTGTAACAAACACAACCACCAAAATGTCGATTAGCCTCATATTTGCAAAAATATATGCAATCCTCGGGGTGCAGGGAGTAATGTGGCACGTATCCAAGGCAGGCTAAGGCACAAAGTAGGCTATACCCTTCACAGGATCCCAATCCGGTGGCAGAACCGCATTGATTTGGACAAAATAACGCATTGTGTAATGTAGTAATAGCTAATGTCCGGTACCAGTCAAAATTCTGGACGCACCTACTCAAAGTAATTTATTTTTCAACAAGATAACAACCCTAAGCACACCCCAAGGTTATGTAAGTACTGTATTATCTCATGAGTAAGCAGAGAGATGGAGTGCTGTGACAGATAACCTGCCCCCCCACAGTCACCCGACCTAAACCATATAGAGCTGGTCTGGGATGAGTTGGATCGAAGAATAAGAGCAAAGTAGACAACTTGTGCCCAGAACTTGTGGAAACTCCTTCAGGACTGTTGGAGAAGCATTCCAGGTGGCTACATCTGGAAGCCAAGAGTCTGCAATGCTGTCATCGAAGCAAAAGGGGGCTATTTTGAAGAGACTAAAATTTGAGAAAATTTTGAGATGAATGTTTCTCCTGGTCGTTACAATATTTGATATGTATTACCTCATTGCCGTGAGGTGTTTTACTATAAGGGGAATCACACAAGTAATACAAAGACATATACTGTATGAACAGCAGGTGTGTTAAAACTTTTGACTGGCGTTGTATGTCTATGTTATAATCTGTTGGCCAGTAAGTACTCAGAGGGAAGGAAGGAGGCTGAGCAGCAGCCCAGAGACGCAGGAAGGAGATACCAGGACGTCGCCTTCCGATTGGCTGACAGATTGTCCATCAATCTGAAAGGGAATGAAGATCCACTGGATTTTATTGTGCAGCTGGTGACTATCAGGCTCCATGACCTCTATAGACATCAGCTAAGAAATCCACACCTCCTTTGTCACTCCCCCTCGTGTCCCCTTTCCACCCTTCCATCATCGGGTAAGGCAGTGTTGCGGATTCGCTGTCGCAGGTTGACACGCTCTGCGAGGAGAAAGGCAGGAGAAGGAGCGAGATGAACAGCCTGAGGAACTCCGTGGCGGCCAGTGAGGTGGAGTGCAGGGCCAGCCGGCAGACGGTGATGCGGCTGGTGGCTGAGGTGCGACGAGAGCAGAGCCTCACGGCGGCCCGTGCCGAGGAGGTAGAGACACTCAGAAAGGTACAAAGCAGTCGTTCACTGGCTGTCTAACCAAGGTTCTGCCCATAAATGAAGCTAAGTTAGAGCTACAGTAAATGAGATCCCTAACTGCAGTTAAATTGTCCAAATATGTGTGTGAATGGTATGCGTGCCCTGCAATGGGCTGGCGCCCCATCCTGAGTATTTTCATGCCTTGTGCTGTAGTTTTCAGTATAAGCTATGGACCGCTGTGACCCTGCATAGGACAAGCGGATATAGATAATGGATGGATGGATGGTATTTGTAACTGAATTTTCCTGTCAGTATGTTCATATCTCATTACAAAGGTGTAACTTTGGATTAAACATTGGGGGCGGGGGGGGGGGGGGTTGAGGTCCCCATCCATTCATCATAACAATATGATTATATGGGGGGGAGAGGTGTTGTTTTGGCCAGTTCTGATTATCGTGGGGATTATAACCCCCTCCCCCCCAGCTCCCCGTAATTTACATCCATGTCTAAATGTCTTTTATCTTTATGTGTGACTGTTTCATTGCTCTATGACCAAATGAATTGAAATTTCATCTAGCGTACGAACCCTGTATCATTCAGCTGAAAATGACCGTAAAGTTCATCTGGCTTGACTGTACCAGGAAGGTCACGTGAGTCTCCACATGGTCGTTGTTATTAAACTGTATAAATTCTCATGTTTCTGTGTTTCACAGGACTTCGACCAGGCTCTGCTGGCCAAGAGGAAGACTGAGGCGGAAAGCCAGGCCCTCAGGGAGAAGCTGGAGTCAGGCCAGCGCGCCCTAGCAGACTCCCAGCAGGAAGCCGACCGCCTGGGCAGGCATTCCCAGGAGCTGAGCCGACAGCTGCGCCGCAGCCAAATTGAGGCCCAGGCTGTGAAGGCCCTCCTGCGGGCCTTTGGGGAGGAAGTGACAGAGCACATCCGTGACCAGAGCAGTCCGGCCTCAGAGGAGGATGTTCAAAAAAAACTCAGGGAGCTCTGTAGAAGCAGAGAAACTGGCGCTGAGGTGCAGTACACAAAGCCAGGCCTCTGTGTACAAATTACCATGATTTCATGTGTTGCTGTATTACATACATTACAGCTTGGCGACTCCTTGTTATTCTGTGTTATCACAACTCAAAAAGTTTTATTTTTCAAGACAGTTAAACCAAAAACTGCTACTTCCCTTACATGTTTTTTGTTTTTTTTTGCTTCGTTTTAAACGCAGAATATTCCAGAAATCGAGGACAATCTGTCTGAGGTTTTGAGGGAGCTTGCCAGGCTGTTTGGTCTCCACCAGGGGGTGCTAGAGAGAGCCCATTCAGCCGAGCAGCAGGTGCAGGAGCTAGGAAGGCGGCAGAAGGAGCTGGAGGCGGAGCTGCTGACGGCGGACGTGCTCCGCGACGGGCTGAGCCGTGAAAGGCACAGCGTGAGGGGCGGGGCCACTGGTGCACCGGGTCTCTGGTGGTGGATTCAGATCAATGTGAAAGAGCTGATATTACCACGTCTTACATACTGCATGAACCACGTTTACTCTGAAAATGGATGATATTACTTTGCATTATTCCCTCCTTCATTAAAGAGATTTACAAAGTAAATTCTTTTAGTAGCTGATGAAAAGTGAGTCTTTAACAATAATAAATACATTTGATTAAAATATTTCTCCTTGTCTGAATTGGAGCAATATGTCAACGAATCTGCTACATAACTTATCAAGTCAAGTTAAGTGAAATGTATACTTTCATACCACTAGGGGGTGCTTTATGTCTAGGATAAAGACCCATGTGGAAACTTGGGGAAGAAATGTGCACCAAAAAAATACTGTATCACAACGTCAAAACGCAATTTCTGTGATCATCCCGCGATTAATAACAAGAATGTTCTCAGGCGTTTGTCTCTTTTCCGTTGACCACAGAACCTGCGCTTCCTCGGTCAGCTGTCGGAGAAGCTGAAGCTGGAAAGGGTTGCTGCAGAAGTGGGCTTTGACATGCAGGCGGAGGCGATTGTGCTGCGCGTGGAGCAGCTAGTGAAGCAGGAAGAGCGTGCTTTGGTGGAAAGCAGGACTCTCGCGCGTGATCTGCAGAGGAAGGTTAGAGGGGTGACGTGCACAGTTTATTTTTTTTGACACTAACAAAGCTAAAGCCAGAATGTGGTGAAAATACCACATTATTGCATGTAACAGTGTCAGCTTCCGCTGTTTTTCTTGGCGGCGGTAGGAATGCGGCCAGGCGATGAGGCTAAATCATCGTCTGTGTGGACGAAGCGGGATTTAGCCGTGGTGTCCTGCCCTGTCTCCCGCAGACGAAGGCCCAGCGAGAGCAGCTACAGAGCAAGGAGCTGCACATGGACATGCTGCGCCGGAAGGTGGCCCAGCTGGAGGAGGAGAAGCAGAGCCGCTCGGCGCTGGCCGTGGAGCGCGACGACGCTCAGCTGACAGCCCGCAAGCTGCAGAAGAAGGTGGAGAGGCTGCAGAAGGAGCTGGAGGCCTTGCACCACTCAGACACTGAGCTTAAAGCCCGGCTTTGTCATACCAATGAGCTCAAGGTATGGCCACAAGTGTGTCAAGCATTGTGGGATACTGGAGGACAGACTACCAGATAACTATACCTCAGATATACAAAACACTCTTTTATTCAGAGATTGTCTTAGCACTTTATCTGCTGGAAGACTTGCTATATGACGGATTAGGAAGATTTCATTCATTCATCATGGTTTAGCTGTTTATTTTTATTAGTTGCTGTCCAGTTGATCGCAGACTCCTAATGGCTATACAGGCAGCACATCTACACAATCTATCTTCTGACAAAGGCTTCGGACATCCCAAAGTCACATCGATTGTTGTGATTATTCAGCCGACCATCTTTCTGACCATCCTCTTCCATTTTTACCTTGAACTTTCCCTATGCACTGCGTCTTCTCATGATATGCCTAAAATAAGAAAATTCACAGAAAATCCCATATTATGAGCAATTCTCTCTTCTTAGACATACGTCAGTACTTCTGGAGATTCTTTTCCCTACGTCCTAGAGAAAAAGGGTGTATTTATTGACTGATGTGTCTTTTCTTGTTGATAACTGTTCTATGGAGGCAAAATTGATATGATTTAATCATCATGAAGTTATCTGCCAATCATAACCTGTGTTTTCTTTACCTTTAGCTGTGGTACTGTCATGCCCCCCCTATGCTGCCAGGGATGGGTGACAGTGGTTGACAAATGGATGGTCATACAATTAGTTATGGATTTTTAGTACACTTTCATTAAAAAATACCAATTTGTACCTTTAAGGGTACAATAACTGGCAACGGGACCGGAACCCCAAAGGGCCGCCAAACGGAACCCTAACCGGAAGGAAAAGGAACCTTTAAAGGAACAAAATGGATTCTGAGGAACATTTTTGTACCATTGGGGTACATTAATGTTGTTTGTACCTTGGGGTGCAAAGCGGTCCAAGGGCTGTACTCTTTTTTCTGACACTGTAGCAGTTCTGTTATTTCCAGGAAACAGAACTGTTCTCCTCCATTATGGGTCCTTCACTGTTTGCCATTATGGTAGCACATGCATCATGGCATTCCTGATTTCTTCCCCCTTATTTACCTCTTGTCACGAAAGCTGACGTGTATGTCTTGATTAATATGAAGGTCAAAGTCCTGGAGCAGAATCAGACCATCGAAGTCCAGGGCAAGAGCCTTGACAGACTGCAGAAGGAGAAGGCAAAGGCGGCAGAGAGGTTAGCCACGGAGAAGTGCGAGATGGAGAGCAGATATCAGGAAGCCGTGGTGGGCCAGCAGCAGGTACAGCGATCTCTGCAGAGTCGCTCCAGCGAGCTGAGGATTCTCCAGCAGACCGTAGGAGGAGCTCACTGAGAAGGAGAGACGGGTAAGACAGGCGAACGCTAAAATACACTAAGATGAGCAAATGTTACATTTATATAGCACTCACTACACAGTAGCTAAGGGGCAGGAGAGAATTTACCAGGTGGATATAGGGAATGATTAGGAGGTCAGATTTGAAAGGGCCACAGTTGGTGATTTTAGCTGAATGACAGCACCGTTTATACAGACCAGTGTCCCCATCACTGTATGGGGACATTGGGATCCCAGGATGGACTAATCTGCTGGCCACACCAACACCTCATCAACCCAGCTTTCTTAGTTGGTCTTCCATCCAAATGCTGACCAGGCCCAAACATGCTTAGTTTCCGATGGGTAATCTAGTCTGTACTGCAGGGGGTATGACTGCTGTTGGCAAATTGCTAAAACTTTTAATTTAAGATGTTTTCCCATCTACTTGTTCCTTTCTACTATTTTTAGTTGACAGACTTCCGTAAGGTAGTGGCCAGCATGCTCGGCCTGGACATCAACACATTGGCTGTGCCCGACTACGAGATCATCAAGACGCTGGAGGAGTTTCTCCATGCGCTTCCCCACACGCACCGGCTTTGCCGATGCCTGGATCACCCCCATCGCCAGCTCACTTTGGACTAGGCCCTGTCTCGGTATACCAACACATAGAACATCTGGGAACCTCCTCCACATGCGGCTCTTTATGGCCGCATTTCTATGTAAAAATTCACCAGTACTCTGAGCGCAAACTTTATTTGCTTTCCTATTGTAACAATTGCACATTAAAGTCCAAAATCACAAATAACTGTCATAATCAGAATATGGAAAATTGTTTTTTATTATATCTTGATTGTTATACTATAAAATACACTATATGGACTAAAGTACTGGGATACGCCTCTTAATCGATGAATTTAGGTGTTTCATTCAGACCCATTGCCACAGGTGTATACAGTGAAGTACCTGGCCATGCAGTCAGGTGTACAAACAATTGTGAAAGAATGAGTCATTTTGAAGAGCTCAGTGAATTCAAGCGTGGTTCTGTCATATGGTGGCAGCTATTATGTAATTTCTTCCCTACTAGATATTCGACGGTCATCTGTAAATGGTATTGCAAAGTGGAAGCATTTAGGAACAAGAGAAAATCAGCCATGAAGTGACAGACCATGTAAAGTAACAGAGCGGGGTCTCTGAGTGCTGAGGTGCACGTTCTGTTGATTCAGTAACTGCAGAGTTCCAAACTTCCCCTGGAATTAACCCCAGCCCAAAAACTGCGCACTGGGAGCTTCATGGAATGGGATTACTTCACCAAGCACAATACCAAGCGTTGGGTGGAGTGGTGTAAAGTACGGCATCACTGGACTCACTGGAGCAGTGGAAACATGTTCTGTGTAGTGACAAATTATGCCTAATGGATGAGTCTGGTTTTGGCGTATGTTAGGAAACCATTACCTGCCTGACTGCATTGTGCCAACTGTAAAGTTTGGTGGAGGAGGGATAATGGTATGGGGTTGTTCTTCAGGGGTTGGGCTTGGCCCCTTAGTTCCAGTGAAGGGAAATCTTAATGCTTCAGCATGCCAAGACATTTTGGACAGTTCCACATTTCAAACTTTGTGGGAAGAGTTTGGAGATGGCCCTTTTCTGTTCTAGCTTGACTGTGCCTCACTGCGCAAAGGAAGATCCATAAAGACATGGTTAGGTGAGTTTGATGTAGAAGAACTTGAATGACCCCATTGAATACCTTTGGGATTGACTAGAATGGAGATTGCGAGCCTGGACTTCACGTTTAAACTCAGTGCCGGACCTCGCAAATGCTCTTCTGGCAAAAATCCCCACAGACACACTCCATAAACTTGTGGAAAGCCTCCCCAGAAGAGTGGCAGCTGTTACAGCTGCAAAGGAGGGACCAACTCCATATTGGTGCCTATGGATTTAGAATCGGATGTCATAAAAGTTCCTGTAGGTGTAATGGCCAGGTGTCCCAGTACTTTTGTCCATGTATGCACCGGAAAATAATTTAGTCATTTTTGGTTGCCAAAGTATTATGAATTATCGCAAATGTCATTTGTGTAATTAAAACTGTATGTGGTCATTTATCTTTGAGGACAGAAAAGAATATTTTCCAAATCACTGTGACATTGTGGCACTAGCTTGTCTTTGTTGTTTCTTCATTTTTTCCCCCCTCATTTTTCGCTCCTTTCATTGAGGAACACTAATCTCCCTGGATTACAACTTGACCTGACACTGTTAAGGTTGTTCTTTACGATATGTACATCATATTCAGCCTCTTACCCAGTAATCTGATAACATGCTGCCATTTTGGCTTCGCAAACACAATGTTAACTCTTGCAGAACGTCGTTCAATGTCCGATTTCATCAATCAGCCCAGCGTGATCCGCTCATCTAATGTTGGGTTGTTGTGAGCCTAGTGCCTGTCTCAGGAACGTGGGGATATCCTGGGTAATGAAAACTGAAGTTTAAGAAAGTGAAGTTAATTTGGTTTAACAGCAGAGTGCAAATGCACCCGTGAGAAGGTAAACATGACCATCAACTTCTGATGAAGAAGTAGGGGCAGTGAGCTACAAATCAAATGGCTGTTTTATTTTAGAGTAAGCCATATGTGAATTGAAGCTTTACTGATTTCCATCTCAGGTAAAGTGTAGATTGAGTCATAATCTAATTTCATAGGTGAGAAGTCATTCATGCCTGTCGCTCGTTCACTTGCAGGGTAGAGTTCATGCGTGAATGATGAACATAATTGGCAATGATAAGTTTTAAGCACGGTCCTCAGGATAACAGTGCTTCAGGCGTGTGCCTTATCAGTGGGGTCAATTTGACCCAGCATATTCCATCCATTTATCTATTTCCAGCAACCGCTTCTGAAAACCGAAATGACACAGTGTGCTTTTTCCCTGGAAGTTTTAACCACTGATTTTCCACAAAATATGTTCCATCCATCCATCCATCTTGTTAGAAATGATGTTTAAGTGATTTTCGTTTTGGTGTAAAACTATAAAGATATGTCTGTGAAATTGTGTCAGCTTAACCATTTTAAAAACTCTCCTAAAGTCACTCTGGTATTTGCAGATAACCATCCAGTACACCAATGTATTTTTTACTGGGCCACTTCCCCATCTTGTATAGCGGGGCTCTTCAAATCTGGACCTCGATTCCAAATCCAGGCCTTGTTTTCAGTTCTCCCAGGTAGTTGTTTAATAATTACTGATTCTGATTGGTCAGAGGCTTCACACCTGACTGACAGGTAAAGGAAGGCTGGAAAACCAGCAGTGCTCGGACCTCGAGGACCGTGATTTGAATAATAGGGTTGTATAGCTAATCAATCCCTCATTGAGTTATTTAACCAATTAAGTTAATTAATTAATGGTGGCGACATTTACAGTAACAGATGCATGGAATGTCTGAGATCCCCTGAGGAGAGGTGCTCATTTAGCCGTCCAACAAGATGCCAGTAACTTTTTGGTGAACATAAGAAATTCTTGTTAGTTTTTATTGTTACTCTTAATTTGCATTAGTTCTAATGTTAAGGTTTTTTTTTTTCGTTCTGAGCAAAAATTTATTACCCAGATAAATAGCTTTAAACATGTCCCTTGACTGCCTAAGGCATTTGCACAGCACTGTACATGCACGTATTACTGAATTTAAGAAAGCAAGACATTATAACCATAAATATTGTTTTTACTTTCAGTATCAGAAAAACATCTGCCAAGTAAATAAAGGTAAACACGTTCTTTTTGATTGGCAGGCATTACTTATAGCATACGTTACTGTCTATTCAACGCTGAAGCTCTATCGTAACTGTTAAAATGCACTTTTATGCATGTATATGACTGTGCAGGTGAAAATCATTCGGGGGAGGGAACTGCTGCCAAGACACAAGTCAAACAGTGACCATTTGTTACGTAAGATTATTGTTGGAATTTTCAGGGAAATGTTCATCTATTTCCCTGCAAGCGTTTACGGCTGATTTTCACATAACAAACCTTTTGTTGTGACAATTTTCAAAATGATTTATGTTAATGATAGATGTATGAAGTAGCAGCCATCGTAGGAAATGATGTATTATGTTATAGGTTACAGTCTCTGACGTGGGATCCTTGTGTTGTAGTGGCAAGTATTGGCAATGATGGTATCAAAGTAACACACATTCACAAATTCAAGCCATTCAGAAGATGTTTTGTTATTGTCTGATGTTTTTAGGATGATCCGAAAAAAGCATTGATTTTCTGATCAAATGCAGAAACAAAAACTATGACTGGCATTGATTCATTTTTGTTATGAGTGGTACCATCAAACAACACCAGATAAACCTGACTTTTTTTTCTTGTGCCTGGAAGAAAATTTGAATCATTGAGTTTTCTGTCACTGAATGATAAAACGTTTATCCCTAATTGTATAAATTGGCATTCGGAGCCAAGCGTTGACCTCGGTTTATTTGCAGTGTTACTATGACCTGGTCTGTGACAATAGTATTGATTTCTCTTGCGGAGCTTTTTTCAGTTCTGCTTGTACTGTGAACTGCCAGTTTTGGCTGGACATTTAAAAAGCATTGTTAGGGATCTCCAGCTCGTTAATCCGCCAGCAACAGATCAGGAACACGGCAGAAATGGGTGGTTTCGTTCCAGATTGCACCTGCTTCTAATAAGCAGCACAACTGCTCAAACTGAGGTATGCAATAAAATGAGTGAAAAATGCTGTTAATTGCAATGGTGTTTCACAACACCAGGCTATAAATCCTAGCAATGGCGATATTAATGGCAGAGTATGTTTTGTGTTGTGGTTTGTTTGAAGAGGAAACAAGAATACTAGGTGTGATCTAAACACCTATTAAAATTAAATGAATAGACTTAACAGCCTTTTACCTAGATTCAGGTCAGACAAACAGGCAAACAAAAATATGACTGTAATACTTATTGTATTAGCACCAATCATTATCCATTATTTTGTGATATAACCAGTCCAACGATATTGCTTCAATGGCTAGAAAGGCCGGCTTGGTCAGGTTATTGGATAAATCCGAGGCCACACTGTCCATACAAATCTCAAGGTAACCATTTTTTATTACATTGTGTTTTTCTTTGCATTGCTTGTTAATGCATCCTAATATCTGTTTCTGTTCAGATTAGATGTTAATTATAATCAATAACAAAAAAAAAAGATTTTCACATGTAACAAAAGTTATTTTAATATGGTTGGTATTAGAACTGCAGCTGCGAATCTTCCCAACCAGCTAAAAGCATTTAAACACAGACACACACACACACACACACACACACACACATACACACATACAGTATATAATTGCGCAGGAGTCTGGTATCTTCTAGTTCTTGTTGAGGCGTCTGTGTAGCAGGTATAGATTTCCAAATCTACTGATAAATACTCATGATGAACTTGGACCAGCGATACAAAGAAGGAACTGAACAGTTCAGTCCATAGAGCTCCAGCCAGCACACCTACAGCTTACGCTCCTTTTGGGAAGAAAGCAAGCTTCTGATTTGCTAATGGCTTCCACCGAATGCTTGTCAAAGGCAGGCTAAGAAACAGCTTTGCAGCCACAAGAGGGAGATTTAGCTAAGTCCCTCATTGACACACAGGGATCCCTTCAAAGACCTGGCACTTCTCAGAAGACGAGAGGAGGAGCTTTTGTATTTTTTTTTAGCTGCGTCACTGCAAACCCGGAGAAGCACAAAAAAACATTATTTGTATTTTTACTGTGATCATGTCCAGGCCGGCACTCAGTAGGACGGCCCGGGTCCTGTTGCTGCAGAGAACAGAGGTCAGAGAGCGGGAGGTGATTGGCTGTTCCCCCGACAGGCTTCTGTCTGATAGGGCTCGAGGTAACATGTACCTGGAGGAGGACTATATGGACTGCGGCCATGAGTATGGCTCCCCCGCAGTCTCTGCAGCCCCGACATACCAGCCCAGCAGCCTGGACTTTCAGACGGACCCCTCCGACAGCCTGGGATACAGCTCGGATGCTAGCCTGCAGTCCCTGAACACCGTGTCCTCCAGTTCCCTGGTCTACATACCCAACAGCCCACAGCTCTCCTCCTTCATCCATCGTCATCCTCCCAACCAGCAGGGGCACTGCTACATGGTAGGCGAGCAGAGCAGCTACCGGCTGTGGGAAGGCACCCCTTCATCGGTCAGCAGGTGAGGAGGGAACAAACAGGTTCGCTGCTTAGGGCACTGGCCAGAAGTTTATGGGTTGCACAGGAGACATTGCTCCTGTTCCTAAAGGAACAAGAGCCAGATATTTCAAGGATTTACCAGCTTTGTAGATTGATATGATCAAATGTGAAAAAGGTTTTGTCTGACAAAACAATTAACAAACTGCAAGCCTTAAAATGTATTAAATAAAATTAATTTTAAAGCCTGCAGCTGAACATGGCTTCTTCACTTCCATCTATGTCTGCCATTTGGATGATGGGAAGTTAATTGCAAGAGTCTGACCGGATGTCATTTTCCTGTAGAGCACCTTCTGTGTACCTCCCTCAGCAAGTTCTCTCTACCTGTTTTGATAAATTATTTGCATTAAAAACATATTAATAGCTAGGTTATGTAAAGTTATCTGTTAATGCATCAAAGGGACAGATTCATAAATAAAACACATACAGTTATTTTTACAGGGAATCTTTCTCATTGTCATACTTGAAATTGATTCCAGCTGCTGTAGCTTGAAAATGTTTTCATAACATATTGCATAATCCATTTGCTCCGTATCCGAACTTCAGAATTACTATAAAGCCCATTTAGTGATGTTTGTATGTACAAAATAAAATAATAGATTATAGCAATAGGTTTCCCATTTTCCTCCAGTTTCTTGCTGTTAGCTGTTCTAAGTTTCCCAGATAGTTTAATATTCTAGGAGTCAGTACTAGACTAGTCTAGTCTAATTTAGTAGGAAGTGTGAATTTAAATGATCCTGACCTTTGGGTCATTTATCTTTTGAACCCTTACACAGCAGCTGTATTATTTATGTTACCCAGTAAACTCCCATCTTTGTACAGGTCCGACACAGCAAGCAGTCGGCAGTGTGTGCAGAACAAGCTGTCTGCCGACACTCCCCCACCAAAGGGGGCACTGGAGCCCCTGCCAGAGACGCGCTACTGCGCAGTGTGCAGTGACTACGCCTCAGGATACCACTATGGAGTGTGGTCCTGTGAGGGGTGCAAAGCCTTCTTCAAAAGAAGCCTGCAAGGTGACCCTTGTTCTTCTTCTTCCTCTTCCTCATTGTTCTATTATTTTCATTCTTCTTTTTATTCTCCATCTTATCCTTTGTCTACTGCTTTATCATCATCATCATCATCATCATCATCATCAATTCTTCTTCTTCAGTGTCTTTTTCTCCTTCTTGATCTTCTTCTTCCTCTCCTGCTTCTTCTTCATCTTCTCCTGCTTCCTTTTCTTCATTGTCGCCGTTGCTTTCTCCATAGCACGGCAGTTTAATAATTATTAGATTTAGCCATTTAAGGATTTCAGTGGGAATTTTGCTTTAACTTTAAGGCCACAATGACTACATGTGCCCCGCGACCAACCAGTGTACCATTGACCGGAACCGCAGGAAGAACTGTCAGGCGTGCCGTCTGAGGAAGTGCTGCGAGGTCGGCATGATGAAAGGCGGCGGTACGTCCCGTCAGCAACGGCTAATTCAATTAAAAAAATGTACCCAAAGTGATTAATTTAGCGAGGTTTTTTTTTACCTTCTTAAAATCAAGATTAACAGGAAATGCGAATCCTGGGAATTGATACAGGCTGATTTAACAATCAGCCTGTAGCAAAATGAGTGTTCTTCTTGTTTAAAGGGACAATCCTTAACCGTTTCCCCTCGCAGGGCTTTGCAAGGCGCGTCAAGGGCGGAGGCAGCTACGGCAGAAATGCCTGGACGTGGGGCGCCCCAGTCCGCGCTACTACAAACCGAACTCCCAGCAAAGAGTGGCCCCGCCCCTGCCGACAGAGGCCCCGCCCCAACGCAGACCTGATAAGCAGAAGCACAGCCTGCGCATGCCTGCAGAGCAGTTCCTCCTGCTGCTCCTGCATGCCGAGCCTCCTCCCCTCAGCACTAGGCAGAAGCACAGCCCGCCATACACGGACGTCGCCATGATGACGCTGCTCACCAACCTGGCCGACAAGGAGCTGGTGCACATGATTGCATGGGCCAAGAAATTACCAGGTAAAGGGTCAACATGACCTAGTGAAGACCGAAGACGCCGTAGCTTAATTACCTCTTCTATGAGTATAGCGCTCATCTACTAAAAAGTGCAATTTTCCCAGTAAACTGTTTATAACGTAACCAAACACTAACATGGCTTCAAAATTCGTGCAAATTGTGTTTAATGTATCACTTTTGGACAATCAATTTGTAGTGTGTTTCCATTTTCAAATTGCAATTCACACACATGGCCATTTGATTGCGTAGATAAAAATATATATATTAATATATGTATTTTCGGGTTAATTTTAGACTTTTTTTTTTAAACAAAAACATGAATTGCCAGTAACAATACTGTCTGGGCAAATTTATGGTTATTTATTCTGTAAATAACACATCAATACATTTATGGTCACAGTATGTTCTGTTTTATATACATTTATATGTATATATTTTTACATATGTCTTCACAAATGAAAATACTCATATCAACAACAACAACAACAACAATAATAATAATAATAATAATATACTTTTCCATTTTGATATATTTTATTTATATAGCAGACAGGGCTAAGGGCCTTGATCAGGAGGCCAAAGGTGAAACCGCCCTGCCCATCCTGGGAATGGAATCAGCTCTATTAAAATATTTACAAACAAATTTTATCTAAATAGAGTAATATTCAGTTCACAGTTTACAATATTACACATATCACAGTGATTATTTTCATCTTAAACATGACAAACACGGCAGTTGTGCGACCTGTTGCTAAACGATGACCCGTCTTTGCAGGATCCAGAAGCTGTGTGTTTAGGATGTTCCTCAGCTGACGCCTATCTCTACAGGGTTCCTGGACCTCTCGCTCCATGACCAGGTCCAGCTGCTGGAGAGCTCCTGGCTGGAGGTGCTGATGATCGGAATCATATGGCGTTCTGTCCCCTCTCCCGGGAAGCTCATTTTCGCGCAGGATTTCATCCTAGACAGGTAGGGACAGTCTATCCCACGGGGAAACCTTGAGTGTGAGTTTAGAGCCAATACCCTACCATTTACGACACACACTCCATTTGTTCTACTTTGACACCTCAGTCAATATATACCTCCATGGATGGTCTCCCAGTATATTTTATGTCTCTGCTGCTGAAACGAAGATTCATTAACCCAAGAAGCTTCCTTATCCTTGTCAGGGTTGCAGCCTACTCCAGGTATCGTAGGACACAAGGCAGGAGGACACCCTGGATGGGGCCCTAGTCCATCGTAGGCTACATGCAGACACACATTCGTATTCCACACATGATTCGACAGCACCAGTAGGGCCCACCCAAGACATAATTGAATAAGTGACTGCTTATGGCCACCAGGGGGCCCCCCATCTCACCAGCCTGCCAGAATGGGAAGGAAGATGACAAATGACAACTACTGTAGGTTCATATAATTTTATCAAAGGGTTGGGCCAGCCCTGGATACCCATTAACCTAAATGTGTGTCTTTGGACTGGGAAAGGAAGCCTAAGTATCTAGAGGAAACCTGTGCATCACAAGGAGAACATACATGTGCACACAGATTTATTTGGATATTTCTGGTTAATTGTCAAGCCCCCATCAGTTGCCAAGATACTAAGAGGCTCCTGTGCTTCCGCCCCCCCCACCCAGGAGCGAAGGGAGTTGTGTGGAGGGGATGACGGAGATCTTCGACATGCTCCTCGCTATGGTCTCCCGATTCCGCTCCCTCCAGCTCAAGACGGAGGAGTTCATCTGTCTCAAAGCCATCATTCTGTTTAACTCGAGTAAGCTGTCCTAGCTTCTGCATGAAAGCTACTCAAACGTATGGATAAAATGCATTGAAATAGAGAGATATATTCACTTAGTTCTGTAATAGGATGTAAGTCTTGGTATATTTCTAATACAAATCCGCTTCTGGAGAATGTTATACACAAAAGGTAGGATTTCTTAGAGCTGCCCCCTTACTGTGACTCTCCAGGCACCTTCTCGTACCTCTCCAGCTCCGTCGAGAGCCTCCATGATGGCTCCGCGGTCCAGTACGTGCTGGACAAGATCGTGGACACGCTGATCTATTGCATCGGCAAGTCGGGTCCTCCAGATCACCATCAGGCCCGGAGACAGGCACGGCTCCTCCTTCTCCTCTCCCACATTCGCCACATGAGGTGAGCACCGGGCCGGACTTAGCGGGGAGTGAGGAGACACAATTGGGGTCCGTGAGGGCCCCACTCTGACCTCCCTGTTTTTCGGCAGTGTGTAGTGCGGGCATCTGTATACTCAGCAAGGCACTTTTCCTTAGTCCCTCTGGAAAACATTCAGCTGTTTAAACACAACATAGAAAACTTTGTTATTCAGCATTAGCTAAGTCAAAAAATATCTAACGAGTTGCAATTAAGTTTCTAGGAGACTGAGTCATTAAAAACTCGGATTTGGTGTATGCCTGTTGCAAATTGCTCTCTGCTTATAGTATTATGTTGTATGTTTCATAATTCATTTTTTAATGTTTTAATTTTTTATTTCATGTGCAGTGATCAATCTTTGGTTTATAATGTTTAATTTTATTTGGTTATACAATTTAATTTCAATATGCCGAACAATATGCCGTTGAAACAATTTTATGAAAATGACAGTATTTAATATGTAGTTCTTAAATTTTATTATGTAGTTAAATTAGCTACATTTTTATTTTGAGTGCAATGTACTGATAGAACATTTATTCACATCACCTGCTGCCTACTCTGTCTCCATAGCAACAAGGGCATGGAGCATCTGCACAATGCGAAACGTAAGAACAGGGTGCCCTTGTATGACCTGCTGCTGGAAATGCTGGATGCCCACAGACTTCGCTCCCCAGGTAGGGCTGAGCCGACCAGGGCACCCCCGGACACAACCCCTGTGTCCCTGTCCCTCCAGAGCAGCCTCAATGTGTCGTCATAGCGATTTATCACTCTGCTCATCCAACCAGCTGTGCAGGTTGTACCACATTGCATGTTAAAAGGGGTGAACTGTCTGCTGCGCTAGTTACCTGAGGCATTTCTCCTGCAAGTTCATGCATCTTTGAATGTATAATGACTTATCGGCAGGTGCTGGATGCCTTTGAAATCTCTGCAAACCTGATCGATTAACTGAGTAACACTCATCTTGTAACCTTTCTTTTGGACTTCAGAAGACTTGCAAACAAGTCTAACAATGATGACAGCTGACGGAGCTGCTCTCTTACTGGTTTTAGTGTCATAAGGTTTTATTTCTTTGCTCATAAGCAATAATCCTAAAATTGAATGAGGCAAAAATGTGGAGATTTAAAGAACACAGCTGAGCAAAGTGCATTATACAGTAATGTTCAGCCTGCGCATTAAAAAATTGTTGTGCCAAGTCTTAAACACTGTATTTCAGTTTTTCACTCACATTGTAAAGTATACCAGAACAAATAAAAACTAAATCTCTGTATGGTTTGCTGATAAGGTTCCACCGTTTTCTGCTGCCACATATGACAACCAGACTGCTAGTTAAATTTATGCCTGTGATGCCACACCTTGTCTGTAGTAGGTATCATAAGAAAAAAAAATGAGCAGAATTATGGTTTTGGAGTGAAATTGAGCAAATAAAAAATCTGTCACATTTTCTTGCTTCCAAAATTACAGATTGGTAAGTTTGTTCAAATGTCTCTTATATTCATGCTTTAGGTTTTACCACTTGGTGATGTTAAGTGTACAGTGCTTGACGTATTAAAGTTAAACGTTGCGCCTTCTTTTTTATCTACAGTGTTATTTGTTCCAGCAAACACCCATTTCGCAGCTTCAATAGCAACACTGATTATATCTAGTGCATGTCAGACATTAAAAATCAAAAAACAAAAGCACACCAAGACAGTTTTAAACAGTAGAAGTACAGTATACAGTGTTTAGAAAATATTCTGTAATTCCTTAGCATAAATAGTATATACATGTTATTTTTTGCATGTTTAAAATAAGTACTGTATGTGCATTCATAAGTATCTGTTAAATTTAGTGACCAAGAAAACTCTAAAGACATTGTTTTAGCCATAGATTTCTTTGTCATATATAAGTTTATTTCTTTTTTACATTATTACACAACTTATTGATCTTGCGTCCAGATACAGTTTAAGTAAAAATACAGCTTTCACACTAAACATAGTTTGCATTCATATCCAAGATTATTGTTGCATGCTAAGAAGGACATGTAAAAAAATAACTGCATTATGGGCTATTTCAACAATATTTTACAAATCATTCAGTCAAGCAAGATCACAGATGTCTGCTAAAAACCAAAAAAAGAACTATTCTGAAAAATAAAATGGAGTGTGTTCTTACAAATAATGACATTGGTGTTCGAAGACGTTAAATATTATGTTTGTTTTTTTGGACAGTCATGGCCAGCTTCAGTGAACTCCTTGAATAAGTTCTCTTAAGAAATGATTCATTTTGATATGGAAAAGTACAGCAGGTCCAGACATTATGGCTGATCTCGGCAGCCACCTGCACATCGAGACAGCTGCCGTAAAATAACCAGCAGCTCGTAACACAAAGACAACACCATCGGGCATTTTTTCGCAGACGCTGGGGCGCCCCCTCTGGGCACTGGCCTAGTACAGCACGGAGTGCAGGGAGGAGGCATAGCCATTGGAGAAGGAGCAGCTGTGGGGGGCGGCCGGTAGCAGGCAGGCCGCGCCGAGGAGCAGCAGCAGCAGTAGCTGGAGGGGCAGGGCAGCCCACAGCACACGGCGCAGGAAGGCCTGCCTCCGGGGCAGCGGCACCAGCATGGCCTCAGAATGGGAGGAAGCGGAGCCAGCGCCTCTGGGAGACCTGTTCAGATATAGTCAGGACATAGCTAACTAGCTGCTAGCCGCATGCTACATGTGCTAGCTAGGCCTCAAGTACAGTAACCATAAAGTTTTTACGTTCATTCCATAGACATTGAGGTTCTTTACTGACAATTAATTTATCCATTTATGTGTGTGCGTGTGTGTGTCTGTGTGTGTGCGTGTGTGGATTAGGTTTATATTACATTGTGGGGGACCAAATGTCCCCCACAGTGTGATAAAAACCTGTTATTCTGACATTGTGGGGACCATTTTTCCCCACAAAGATCTGTGAATGCAATCAAAAAAATAGAAATGCCTAAAGTATCGTATTTAGTTTGGTTACTTATAGTTAAGGTTAGGGGTGGGTAGGGGTTAAGGTCATCATGCTGGCATTACAGTTTTCTGGAGAGTCCCCACAAAGATATAATTACAAACCTCTGTGTGTGTGTGTGTGTGTGTGTGTGTGTGCGTGTGTGTGTGTTTGACCTCCCTCATCAGTAGTGATAGGCATATGAAGCTTCATGAACCATTTGCTGTATTTTTGACCCCACTAGATGGTGCTCTTGGTTTTCTTTGAGGCATGCTTTGAGCCATTACAGGAACAGAGAGCACCACCTAGTGGGGTCAGAAAATACAGCAAATGGTTCATGAAGCTTCAAAGGCCCTCCAAAGTTATGGGTCATTACCTGCCCGTACTTTCATGTGAAGTCTATTATGTGAGATATACTGCCTCATTTACCATGCAAAGCTTCTCTTTGGAAGGTATAAGCCTATGAGACTGTACTGCTATTTGAGTTGTCATAGGAACGCCTACACTTTTCTATGGGACACAGCAGTTTATTTTTCAGTAGGGGACCAGTGCCAGCACTAGGTTTAAAACTGTCAAAGACCATTTTCACCTGAGACCCCTGGGCGTCAGGGTTAGGGTTAGGGTTAGGTTAGAGTTAGGGGTTAGGGTTAGGGTTAGGCCTGTGCATTAAAGCACCCCTATCAGGGTCCTAACCTTGGACATTATGAACTAAGAGTTATAATATATGCAGATCCACTCATACTGTTGTAATTTCACATAGTTATGAGAACTAGATATCAGTATCATGTACATAATACCTCATTCATGTTGCTTACTAGAAAAAATAATAATGAAAGAGACAAATCTGAGTCAGAGAAATCCAACTGAACCAAACTGCCCCCACTCCGTGGTGGCGGCACAGCAGACTAATTCCATGGCTGGTGCCGATTCTGTTTTCCTTGCTGCACTCCAGGTTTCTAGCTAAATATGATTTTAGGAACAGCCTCTGGGGGCACAATTCACACAAGGAGGAAGAAGACTATCTTTATAGTCATTTATTAAACAATCATTGCATGTCATTCAAGAAATTTGGATTGAACCCTTTTCACAGAAGACAAATAAATACCTGGAGTAGGAGCAACCGACCTTTTTAAATTGCAAAAACTGAAATTCAGTATCAACCACTTTCATAATTCATATTCTAAACCCTAGATTAATTGCTGCACCAATCCCATCCTCAGCATATTATCCTGATTTCTTAGTTTAACCTGTCCTAAAACTTACATGCAAATGTGTCTGAGATTCATTTGATTTTGGGGCGAAACAAGCCCTATGTCTGCTGTAAGAATACAGTGTGGAGCTAGGGGGAAACATTTAAGCTGACCAGCCTTGTCATGCAGTATTAAAAGTGGAAAGGCATGCAGAGAATTAGAGGTATCTAGATTTCAAAAAGCAGGTTTGTAGCTGAAATGGTTTTTTTTGTTTCAACATTGGTATTTCTTCATGGCTGTATATATTTTTTTTTAAAAATCCAAAGATTTCAAAATTCAAAAGTGACTCTAATCCCTGCTGAAAATGTTAACTCCTTTCGTCAACCAATGGAAACATGAAATATAACCCAGAAATGTTCACTGAACTTTGCTTATAGGAGAAAAAAATGTATTTGATTCGAAATGTTTGGCAATTCTCGTTGGTACAACAGATTTTCCTAAATGTTCATACATATTGCTTCCAGTTTTTTTTCCAAATTAAAGGTGGTTTGCTAAATAAAATGTTTTAAATTAATTTCATAATAAGTCTTGTAGCTAACCTGTGAATCTGTTTATTGGACAGTGACCAAAGTGCACCCAAACCATTACAACAGAAGCCTGACAGGTGAAAGCCATAAAAAAACAAATGAACAGGGAGGGAAGGCCGTTAGCGACAGAAGAAAGAGCTGCCTGACAGGCACGCACAGGCGGAGCGGGCTGCTCGTTTGGCGAAAAGTTAACAAGAGGCAAGTGGCGAGAGATGAAGCCACACATTGAGACCACACTTTCACCTAGGGGGTCAGAGGAGCACTGCAAAAGGTTACTGTTATAAGGGAAACAGGACAAACTGTGGTAGTTACACGCGCATCTCGACAGCCTTGTAAAGTAACCAAGGACTATTAGCAAAAAGCCCTCATCGTGAAGCAATGTAGAGTATAAAAGTTAGGCGATTCTCTTGTCACTTATCACCTAACATCTGTGTAGCATCTAGAATTGTAGAAGATAATGGAATTCCTAGATGATTGACACATTCCACTCTTAGAAGCAACGGTCTTTGCGTTTTACCCAGTAGTAACATAATAGTAATTAACATAAAATTAACGTGAAAACATCTTTTGATGTGGTGTATGTATCTGGGTATAACAGTTACCAGCCAGCAACCTGATCAAACAGGATTAGGTCCAAATGCCAGGACAGGCAATGTCATAGACGCAACACTGTGGGTCCAATACCACATAGCTAAATTCCATTATCTTCTGGGAGTTCTAGAGACCGTGAGAGAGGTACCTGCGGTGAGGACGTCTGACTGAGGGTCCAGGCTTTGACAGACTACATTTGCCCCGTGGCTGTTTGCAATGAACAGGGGGGGGGCAAAGAAAGAGAATGTTCAGTCCCAGCCAAAAAACGGCAAGCTACCAATGAAAAAAGAATAGAGTAAAATAAAATAAGAAAAACACATGCAGCAACAAAATCTGATGACAACAGACCGGTAACCCATGGAAACGAGGGAACTGGCTATTCAGACCAATAGTTTTCATGGGAAAGATAGGTCTGAAGCAATGTATACACAATGTTTGTTTTTGAGCATTGTATGTTTTTAAAACTACCAATTTTAGAGACTTCACAGGGATCATTTATAAATGCAAGCATAGAAGACGCAGAGAAAATGTTGAAAATGTAGAGAAAAAATATAAATTAAAATTCTATTCTAAATTCCGTTGTAACCTTTGTACTCAATTGTACAAATAATTGTACTCAGTTGTACAAATAAAAAAGTTGCATAATCCATATATAGTATACTTTAGTCAAAGAACAAGTTGAGGGAGGCGTAAAAACAATTTCCCCACGGGGATTAATAAAGTGTTCATTATCATTATCATTATCATTATAACTAGTATTTGTCTTTGAATTAAACCAAATTATCAATTGAGCCAATGGATTCCAAATCTCAAGTGATTTGCCCAATTTAGTGACATAAAAGTCGAGGTGAGATGTTAAATCTGACCGCACTCTGTGATCATCTGCTTATTGAGCATGAAGAGCCAGTGTCCCTTGTGCCTTAATCTTTGAGGATGTCAAAGGCATGGCGACAGAAAGTCAACCTGAAGGGTTTCATGGAAGATATGGTGGCTCCTTTGGCCTAATTAAAGATATTTTTGTAATTTCATATATGGGCAATCGGAAATGAAAAGTGGGAGGAACAGTCTTCTCACCCCCTGGAGAAGCACAGTGGTTGTGGGACAGCAGAGCATGCGTGGATCAGAATGGGAACAGAGAATAGGAATTTGGGGGGGGGGAGGGGAGGAACCAGAGGAACTGTCTCATGGCAGGGTGACTTTGGCCACAATCAGAAAAGTTTTAAGGGGCACTGTCGCCTTTAGATGCTAACTTGGGGCACAGATGACCCCCCTCCCCTCCCGCCCAGCTACTGCGGGAAGGAGGATTGGGGGGGGGGGTGCATGGCTGATAGTGACGTCTGCACATTACCGATCGCCTCCGGCTTGGCGTGCTCCTCCCCGACACAGGACTCAGCGATCCAGAGGTGTCCAGCTCGTCAGCTGATGACCATGACGAGAGATCCTGCGAGAGCCGCACAGAGAGGTGTGCTTTGGTCAAGTGTGGCAAGAGACATGAATCTAGTGATGCTATGCAACATTATGTGGGCCTCAAAAGCTAACAATACTGTATGGTAGCGATGGGCACATGAAGTTTCATGAACCATATGCTGTAACCATTTGCACTAGATGGTGGTCTCTGATCATAAAAGGCCTCAAAGCATGCCTCAGTAAACCAAGAGCACCATCTAGTGGGGTCAAAAAATACAGCAAATGGTTCATGAAGCTTCATTTGCCCATCACCACTGACACAACAGGATATATCATAGAGAGCCAGGAAGGCCCAGAAATTTTTGAAGAGGAGGGTGGCAACCCTACTGATAGTCGCTGGAGCAGCTGGGTTAAGGGTCATGTTCAAGAGCCCAATAGTGAAATCGCTCTGCTGATGCAGGGATTTGAACTGGTGACCATCAAATCATCTACTGAACCACATCGGTCTAGATCTAGTTAAGTGGGTCTGGGTGTGAAGGACCGACCTGCTGGCTGCTGGTGATATCCAGTGTCCGTTCCAGCCCCCGGATGTCCCGGTTCACCTCCTTCAGGATCAGTTTGAGCCGGTTGCCTATGACGTGAACTTTCTCCTTGGCCTCCAGACAGTCCCTGCCCTCGGAGTTGACAAGCAGATGCCTGGACATGTACTGCAGTGAGGCAACTTTCAGCTGCGAATCCAGCAGCTCTCTGCGAATTTGCTGCAAATGCAATTTTTAATGAGGAATTAGCCTATCAGTCTATTTTCTGTATATCACTATTTATACTCGGATGCAAGTTATGTTTAGTATGAGTTATAAATACAATAATTTCTCATGAGGCTTTCATCACATTTATTTTAGGTGATATTGAACTTCACACTCGAATAGTATTTAAATGTTATAGATATTCAACAAATTTTCAAGGGTTCTTCAGATTTTGAGGAGAACTTGAAGAATAAAAAATGGCAGACAGTTTCTAGGCACACACCATGAGGTTTCTGTGATGCTCGTGGAGCACTTCGACATCCTGGCTGTAGTCAATGGGGACGATCTCGTTCCTCCTGCGGTCGATGTTCTCCAGCCAGAGCAGTAGGCCGTGGCTCATCTCGTGGAAATCCTGAATGTGAGGAGGAAAAACGGATATCTGTTAATGTATAACTGTATCTATGTATCACTGCATCCTAGTATCACTGTATCTATATATTGTTGCATCTATGTATCACTGCATCTGTGTATCACTATATCTATATATCGCTGCATCTATGTATCACTGTACCTATGTATCACCGTATCTGTATAGCACTGCATCTATGATGCTTGAAGACAGCTGTCAAATCCATCATGTTATTATGTTCTAAATGCACTGCGATACATAGTTAGTTTTAATTTTAATTTATATGAGTGGATACATGAATTTGATTTGCTGAGAATTCATGCTACATCCCTGAGAAGAATATGCGGTTCGAAGAAGTTTTATTTTTCCAAATACGCCCGACTCTTGACTTGGATTCGCCAAGTGGGTCACATTAGAATCGCTCTGCCATGGTAACACAATTTTTTGCTTGCTGTCCTTGTTGCTGTGTACAGTCCAAAGGGGTCTGAAGTGGGATTGGGGGGTGGGGGTTGTTGGGGGGGTTACTTACCACTGCATGAAGGCATACTGCACCTAGGCATTTTAATATCTGAAGTGACTTGACCATTTTAATGACAGATACCAAGGTATAATCAGGGGGTACCTATAAATTCTGGGTCCACTACAAAATGTCGTATCAGACCCCCGTCCGATTTGACAAGGGCCCCTGTTAAGTGCTGGGCCCCTGAATCTGCCAGAGTGTCCATGCCCATCTGATGCCCCTGGGTATAATATTCAACATTGCAGTCCCCTGTGACAGTACCTTTATACTGTATGAGTGAAGAACCAGTGCCCCTTGTGGCCATTGCCATATATGGCCCAGAGGGGCTCGGGGTGCTGTTACCTAGCACTGCATAAGGGTGTCTTGCAGAGGGGCTCAGGGTGCTGTTACCTGGTACTGCATAAGGGTGTCTTGCGTTGGGGCTCAGGGTGCTGTTACCTTGCACTGCATAAGGGTGTCTTGCGTTGGGGCTCAGGGTACTGTTACCTGGCACTGCATAAGGGTGTCTTGCGTTGGGGCTCAGGGTGCTGTTACCTTGCACTGCATAAGGGTGTCTTGCGTTGGGGCTCAGGGTACTGTTACCTGGCACTGCATAAGGGTGTCTTGCGTT